TTTTTCATTTTATTTATAATGAAACTGTTAATAATTTTTATATGCATTCGCCATTGTTGCCGAAATCTGCCCTTGGCATATGCTCTATTGCCCTCAGTTCCGGTTAAATACTAAATGATTTTCATTTTATTTATAATGAAACTGTTAATAATTTTTATATGCATTCGCCATTGTTGCCGAAATCTGCCCTTGGCATATGCTCTATTGCCCTCAGTTCCGGTTAAATACTAAATGAGTGAGCTTTGAATTGCATTACCATATCGATTCGCCAGTTTATTAATATAGGTACCTTTGGGAACGATCGCTCATTTAAATAAAAGTAACAGCGCTCTCTTCAGGCTGACAGTTACACAATCCTTAGTAACAGAAGATACATTGTTCCATCAGGTAACTATAGTGAATCCTTCCATGTATGGTATTAATAATTCTAATTGGTGCCCGAGATATTTCCATGTCCCTCACCACTACACTGAGTTAAAGTGGCTCTTCTCCATTCGAAGACAATATTTCCTTGGTACATTCCTCTATCAAATCATCAACAATCATCGTCCTTCTTACGCCTACAACCTTCTCCAATTCAAGTCCTCAATCCCATTCCCTTTCCACAAGATCTCGACCTTCCGTGCTTTACACCCCTTCTCTAAAATAAAACTGGCTATTAATAACTGTTAAAGGAAATGAAAATTATGAACAAGAAATTAGATTTATCAGAAAACAAAGAAAAATACAAACTAACATTAATTATCAAATAAAGAATATAAAATTATTATAAACTAAACATTAACGTAGACTATACAATAAACCAATTACAAACATTTTAAAAAAATAGATAGGAAATAAAAACTTATATATACATATTTACAACATTCCACTGGTTGAACTCTGTCCAATTGGCACATTGAGTTATCTGAAGAAGCGGGAACTTATTCGAACTAGCGTCGTCAATGTTTCCCCAATTTATCTCCTCAAGCTGTGAAAATGTCCATTCACCAACTTGTAAAATCAAGCGCCATTCGTCGCTGATAATCACAGGTTCATGGATAAGAAAAGAAAATCCGGTGTACACCGTAAAACTGAAGTATTTCACACAACAAACTTAGCGTGCCTCAACACTCGCGAGGTTCCGCCGTCTCTCTCTCAACTGTGTTTTGTTTTTCCTTCCAATCAGCTGTTGGTTATTCCAATCCGAAATAAAATGAATACTTCAAACTAAGATTTATTATAAACTAATGCTTATTATTAAAATTAATACTAAATACTTAATTTTATATTTAAACCTCTTTGAGTAAATAAATAACACAATTATTTTATGAAATAATTTGTTTTGTATTTTATTTTTCGTCACAATGTAATTTCTTTTTTTTTTTTCACGAACCGGCAAACAAGGACCGTTTCCTCTTCCCACACTCCAATACTCTCTCATCCTCCTGGACTGTTACTTTCGCTCTTCCTTAGTCCATTTCCTTCCTCGTCTCTCCCTCCCACCTACAAGAACCCCAACCCAACCCCTTTCAGTTTTTCCCTAAAAAGCTCTCTATCCAAGCAATCTTTATCGGTGATTTTTAGCCTGTCTAGTTCCTATTTTATTTGTATTACGTATCCCCCCATAATTTTATAGCTGAAAACTTTGTCAACTTTTTTTTTTGTTCAGTCATTCACTATTCATCCTGACCATGTGCCCGTAGAACCTCAGTCGTCTGGTCCTGACGACTGCTTCCAAATCTTCCAAAGTTATCCAAAGTATTTCTTCATTGGATTTTAACCTGTATCCCTCTTGCATTACCTTGGGTCCGTGAATCCTCCTCAGAATCTTCCTCTCAATCTTCAGGATTGTCTCTAGGCTCGGAAAGCTGCATGATGAATAATAATTCATAATGATTTACATAATGATGTATTTACTTAGAATTCATCATTTAAATGCTCAGACAATGTTTACTATCAAATTTAGCTTTCTTTTCTTTTTCTCAAGAAACACAGAGTTTATTTTTAAGAAGAATTTAATGTATTTTTTATTTGTTTTTTTCTAACAATGTATGTTTATATTTTACTACTGTACTTATTTTAAAGTGTTTTGACAAAGTTTCAAGTGTTTTGTATATAGATTTTTTGTTTTGTATATAATATGTTTAACTAATATTTTCTTTACTTATTTCTCTTTTTTTTTATTTTTTGTGTTTGTTTTTATGTAGGCCAAATGTAATATTTTAATTTTGTACTGTTTTGTTTTTCTAAAGGTACTTTGTCCCAGAATAAAATTATTTTTGTTCTAAAACAATAATTATCAAGTATATCGTATATTGCATTTTTTTATGTAGATCAATGTAAAATTTTGGGAAGAAACACTACAACCTTCTGTCTTTATATTCTTTCTTTATTTTAATTGATAACGTTTCGGACGCACTTCATCCATTCTACAATAAAACGTTACATTAACCTATCGTATACTTTTTTTTTAAGTGGAAATTTCTTTAAGGGAATTAGATTGAGCCGTCAAATCTCCAATGGGTAACGCTCAATTAAAGTCAGCCGGAGTCACAGTATCTCAAAATCTCAAAATCGGACCTGTATATAGTAAGCAATGGAAATTTTCATAATTTTTTCCTCTTTGTTATGGGCTATTATTCAAAACTGTTTCTTAACGCGATGCCTTGTTAGAGAGGTGAAAAGAAAAAGAAATGTGTCGACAACCAAATTATAAACGAGTTTTATAAAAGATATGGATTAAAATATCTTAGAAACTAAAAATCGGACGTGGGTACTGTTCTATGATAAAATCAGTTCTAATATATGGCTGCGAAATCTGGACACTAACCAACATCCCAGAAAAAATATTGAAAGGATTTGAGAGAAAAATCTTCCGCACGATAACTTAGTACCAACACTCATAGAGGGAGGGCTTTACCGCGGAAGTGATAGATAACTGATAAAGACTGGATACAATTGATTTAATAATTTGATGTATATTTAGTTCTTGTTTTTTTAAATTTACATATTTCAAAGTTATTTAATTTTTTGTATATACTTTGCATAAGTAACCCTTTGTAATGTCTGTTACAAATGGCATCTTAACATACAGAATTATACTATGACTGTGTGCTATTATAAGCTAAAATTATACTTATTGACTATTGAGAATTGATATCCTTATCCGTTAGTATTGATGTGACATCCGTGAGAATGAGACCTTTTGCTGAAATCTGTTATTGTTGCCTAAGTCTTTATAATGGAGCCTTATTGTGTCCAGTCAGTGCCTTTTAGATAATTATTTCTACGCTATCGAGGATAGTTTTGTTCTTTTGTCCTTTGCATTATGGGAATTGCACTTGATGGAATTAACAATTGGCAAACTTAACAAACTTAACTATTAAAATAAAGGTTATTTATTTTTTTTTTTTTTTTATCTTTTAACTTATTTATTCAGAAATATTGCAATCTGTCACAATTCAGAAGATTTATAATAGTTTTCAGAGACCATATTCACAAATGGTTAAATTAATATTATGATTATTATCTGTTACGGTATATTGGAGTTCTAGCAATGGCCAGATTCTCCACTCAAGTTGTTAGCGTATGTGGTTTTAAGGTCCTTATTCAGTCTCCTCTGGATTTTAATACCAATGACATGATTGAGAGAGAAGCGCAGGGATCTCCTGAATCCTATAATATATATTCAGAAATGATATATAAGATGTGCATTACAATTTACAATAGAATAGAATAGAAAAATAACTTTATTTTGGGACACAGTCCCTTGAGAATAACAAAATTAAAAAATTACATCTGGCCAAAATAAAATCAATCGAAAAAAAGAAATAATGTAAAAAAAATATAAGGTAAAAATTCTATATACAAAACAAACTGAACTATATAACCATTAATACTATGACAAGACACTTAAAGCTATTTGCACTTATAGACCAGTATACATTTTTAAGAAAATAATAAAGAATTAAAAAATAAAAATGTATCAAATTCTCTATTAAAATCAGCTCGGATGGTTAGCAACTATCTGACTGTTTTTTGGATAGGAATTGGAATAGGAAGGTTTTGAATGTGGATATGGATGGGGAATGTCGAATTTTGATAGGGAGGGAATTCCAGAAATTGACAGAGCGAACAATAAAGGAATTTCGGAATGAGGCGGATCTGTGAGAAGGCATGTAAAGGTTAGAAGGTCGAGAGAGGATTTGAACTGGAGAAGGTTGTAGGCGTAAGAAGGACGATGGTTGTTGATGATTTGGTAGAGGAACGTACCTAGGAAATATTGTCTTCGGAAGGAGGGGAAAAGCCACTTTAACTCAGCGTAGTGGTGAGAAACATGGGAGTATCTTGGGGCCCCGATCACAAATCTTACGCAGCTGTTCATTAGTCTTTTCAGTCTATCACGGAGCTCCACATAGAGGCCATCATACACCGCACAGCTATAGTCAAAGTGGGGGAAAATAAGAGAGGAAACTAGGAGTCTACGCGTATGTTGAGGTAGGATATGGTGGAAGCGATGGAATAGTTTGAGGGTGGAAATTGTCCGTCGAGAGATATGAGAAATATGGTGGTTCCAAAAGAGGTTTTGATCAATGAAAAATCCTAAATTTTTAACAGAGGAGTAGAAGGAGATTGGCTGATCATTAAAGTGAAGGATGGGAAAGTCTGTATAGGATCTAAGGACGGGCTTGGAACCAATGACAATGGCCTGAGTTTTGGCAGCATTTAACCTTAATCCGTTTACATTTGCCCAGGCATTGACGTTTACATACATACATACATCTTCGGCTCTACAGCCCAGTTCCCTAGACTTTCTTTAGCACCCTACTATAATTGTAATTGAAAAGTAGAATATACTGTGATTACTATTTAACTTAGATCACTCGCATAAACAAACATGGAACAATAAAAAATAAAATTTTCTATTTCGGATTGGCGAAGGACTTCAGCCATAAAATAATCAATAACTAGTATTGACTGGATGTAATTGATTTTATAATCTGATGTAAATTTTTAGGATGATGGCGATGATTGTATATGCTGCCCTGGCAATTTTAATGGCGAACCTCGTCTTTGGTGTTTTTCTTTGGTTTAAAGTACGGAAGCTCTATTGCTATCCTGGGGTCTTGGGTTTCCCAGTTATCGGGAACCTCTACAACGCCTACAAAACACTATTAATGATTACCGTTGATAGTAAGTATGAGAAAGAGGATTATGAGGACAATTTATACTTATTAGACTAGATTTATTGATATTTGGAATACAATTTTGACAATTTATAATATTTAGTTTAGTATATGTGATAATTTAGTTTAGAATATGTAGAGGAGTAGGTCAGTTGGTATCCTTTGCACTCAGCTGGAATATGTTTTGTTCCCTCCAGCATATTATGAAAAGAAATATAAGCCTTGATCTATAAAGACGGTTCTTCGACAATAGCATCAGTCCAGCCGTTACCTACGGACGTCCAGCTTGGTCACTGACTATAGCTCAAGAGAAGAAGATTCAGGTATGGCAGACCAATATTGAAAGATGTATTATAAAGTAAAGTGTATTATGAAGATACACTTAGGCGGACAATACTGAGCAAATAAAAATGAGCTGGGTGCGAAAATAATAGATAGTCAGGAATTATCACAGTTTTGACTCCATGAGGGGCGGAGTGGCCGAGCGGGCTAAGGCGTGTGTACAGCATCGAGCGTTACCCGGCAAATTGAGGAATGATTCTCGTAGGGTCCATTCCGATCTGGCATCAATATAAAAATCTACTAGTACTAGGAGTGGCACGACATCCCGTTACCGAGACTGGGCCTCCTCCAAGAGCCTTCGCCAGTTGGCTCTGTCTTCTGCTGCAGCTCTCCAGTTCCGTACACCAAGCAGGGTTCTCGCATCATAGGCCACGTTGTCCAACCATCTCGTCCTCGGCCTTCCTACCCGTCTTACGAGATGCAGCTCCTCCATCATTATTTTCTTTGGTATTTCAACGGTGCTCATTCTGGCCACATGCCCTGCCCACCTTAGTCTGGCCAGTTTAATATACGTGACTACGTCGATGTCTGTATAGAGAGAACTGAGCTCCCTATTTTTTCTTTTCCTCCAGACATCACCCTCCTTTACTGGACCATAAATCCTTCTGAGGACTCCTCGCTCAAATACACTCAGCTTCATCTTATCGTTTTTGGTCATCGTCCAAGCCTCTGAGCCATATATCAAAACAGGCCGAACAAGGGTCTTGTATATGATCAGCTTGATCTTCTTTGAGAGGTACCTACTTCTTAAATGTCGGCCAAGTCCAAAGACACATCTATTGGCAGCCGTGATCCTTCTTTGTATTTCTTGAGCCATGTCATTTTTGCTATTAATTTCAGACCCAAGCTATATAAAACTTTTCACTCTCTCAAACTTAAAAGAACCTACCTCAAATGGAGAGTTCATCAATATAAAAATCAACCCCATCGAAATGTTTCCCACTCAAAAATGAAAAACTCCGTCAAAATTTGCCCTCTTCAAAAATTTTGATGGCGTAACTTGCGGCATGAAATCCCCTTGTGGACTGTGCTGTTAAACAATGTTGATCGGAGTTGGATTCCGGAATTCCTGGCCGCTTTTTTTCCTGCAAAATTAAAAAGCAGGCAAGAAAGAAATCAGAACGATTCCTCCTTGGTGTTTTCCTTTTCCAAGTCTTCAGAACCAAAAACCCTCCCTACTCCCTGGAACTCCTTACTCTGCGCTCCTCTATCCACTCTCTCAATACTAGGTCTCAACCTATAGACTTATATATTCCCTCTCATAAAATTTTCTCCTTCAGCAAATCCTTTGTCATTCGTGCTGTTTCCTTATGGAACTCTCTTCCTACCTCCTTACATCGATCCTCGTCTACAAATTCCTTCAAACAACTCCTGTTCCAACACCTACTCCACATTCAAACCTCCCCTAACATGTAAAATTACTTGCATCTGTAAATGTTTAATTTCAATCTATTGCACAATTGAAATAACAATTAACAGTAAATTAGTTTGTATTTTTATTATGTCAGACTAAGATACATAAATTTGTAACTGTGTTATTATTCTTAGGGGACAGTAGTCCCAGAATAAAATTATTTTTTCATTTCAACGATCTACACCCAGACTCACCATACACTTTGAACTCGTCATTGTCACCTTAACCAGTCTCACTAATTTCCTCGGGACGTGCATTTCTTTTAGAGCCTATAAAAGTTTCGGTCGAGTAACGCTGTGATATGCAGATTTGAAATCGGTAAAGAGATGATGAGTTACGATTTTATACTCTTTGTTTTCTTCTAACATCCATCTCAATGTAAATATACCATAGTGGATATCCGTCTTTTAAATCATGCATGGTATTTCCCGATATCACTTTCCACGTGGGGGAGCAATCTTTCGAAGAGAATATTTGAAAGTACCTTTTAAGCAAATGAGAGAAGAACCATAATCCGGTAGTTGTTGCACTCCAGTTGATAACCGTTCTTGTGGGGTGGGCAGATAACACCCTTTAATGAATGGAATCGTCACAGTTCGGATTCCATAGGGGGCGGAGTGGGCTAACGCGTGTGCACCGCCAATCTGATAACAGAAGTTTTGAGAAAAAACAAATAATTACGAGTTCAAATCCCATTTCTCGGTGAGACTGCTAACTCGGCATAATTTTCTCTCACTCTTCTCCGGCCGATGAAAAACCCCGTGTAGCCTAAAATGCAAGGAAGGGAAGAACAAACAAAAAAAGAACAGAAAAAATTGAACCTTGCAAAAGATTGGAATCCATATGACCTTAAAATAAGAAGGGGGCGCCAAAAAAAAGTTGCAACATGTTCTAACTGTTAGCGGGACCCTCTCTCTAGTGGAGAGCTGCTAGGGCCAGGGGTTTCAGGAAGGAGAAGTGTGCAGGAAGGAGAAGTGGGGAGGAAGGAGAAGTGGGCAGGACACGCATCCCAATATACAGGGTGTCTCAGTTTTTAATGGTCAAACGTCTGGGGGATGATTCTACACCAAATTTCTAACAAAAAATGTTCATCTGCTGCATGGGCCGATTCCGAACAAAAATGGAGTTAAGCCCAATTTTTCTTAAGGTGGTCACAGTTTTGATTGTATAAGAAATAATTACTCAAAAACTGTTCAAGATAGATAACTTTTAATTACAGCATCGTAAAGTAGAGAATATTTTTTTGAGAAAACAGAGATTAAATTTTGTAAGGTCAATGATAAAAGGGACTTTCAGAAGATCTAAGACGGCCGCTAATATGACCGAATAGCTTACAGACTGTAGAGCGGCCGAATTAAACCTCCTAAAAGTTTTTTTTTTTTTGTCATTGATCTTAGTAAATTTAATCACTGTTTTCTAAAAAAAAAAAAATTATCTACTTTATGGTGAGAATTCCTCTCTTATTCGATTCCTTTCCCCTTGTCTCTAGATGTAGTTTCCAGTGCCCTTAATTGTGACAAATGTATTATTTACCAATAAAAAGATCTGAAAAAAAACTTTATGGTGGGGTCCTTAGAATTTAATTATTTTGAACATTTCATGAGCTTATTCAATAAAAATCGTTGCCATCTTAATAAAAACACAAAATTGGTCATAACTTCTTTTCCATTCGGAATCGGTCCGTGAATTGAAATGAACTGGGACGCCCTATGGGACGACCTTCGGAGGTACTGGCTATTACTCTCGAAAAACGACTATGAATGAAAGGATGAAGAAAAGGAATAAAAATAAATAAATAGTCAGTATTATCAATTTCTTTTATCATTTAAATAAAGTTTTTTTATTTGATCGTATCATGTATAAATTTGTTTGCATAAGGCTATTTTATTTCATTCAGGAGGGGTTAAGTACGGAGTGGCAGTGGCCGAAGAACATGGAAAGGATGGGATATTCTTCCATTGGCTATGCGGTTCCAATGTAGCGGCGGTGATTACCAGCCCTCATCTTGTAAAGGTAATATAAAATAAAAATAACTTTATTCTCGTACAATGCTCCTTACCAATAACAACAGTTACAGAAAAATAAAATGTATTTCTAACCAGAAGACTAAAAGATAATAGAAAAACGAAAAGAAAAACAAAACATTACTAAAGTATTCTTCTAATAAGTTAAAAAAAAGAGAAATAAAAAATGAAAACCACAACTATCCAAAAATAATAATCTCGTTGAAGGAGAATCATCCTCTGATTTTATATCCAAATTCGAAAAAAATCGGTCCAGTAGTTTCTGAAAAAATGAAAAGGAGTGCGAACTCGTGGACGAAATCAGAAGGGCCAAAGTGGATATATTTGGCATTACCGAAACGAAGTGGAAAGGAAAAGGCGAACTGAAGATCCAGAACTACACTCTTCTGTACTCGGGGGTCAATGAGAGAGAGAGAGAGAGGGAGTGGCCAGCGGAGTAGGGAATATGATATATGATCTTGCATCGGGAATTAAAGGTTGGAAATTTGTGAGTGATCGAATTATGATTCTAAACATTGTTGAGGGGAAAGACATCCACTCTTTGACAGTTGCATATGGACATTTAGTATAAAGATGGGAAAAAGTCGTATTGAATAATGGTCAGTGTTAACGCCGCATACTTGCAGATCTATATTTTTTTCTCTCACCATATTTACCCTTTTAAATGTTAATGAAGAAAATGTTTATTTATTTTTTTTGTAAAAATTGAGGGACAATTGTCTCAGAAATATATTTGTATTTGTATATCTGCCTTCGTTTGCGATGTATTATCGCTCATTTGTATACACACCAGCCCGGCAGTAATACTCAGTCTTAGGGATTAAGACACAAATAATGCTATAATACTGTCGGGAGGCAGTCTTAAGTGAGGCTGGAGATAGCTCTTGTGGACATTAGACCATGTAGTGGAAGTCTACCCCCACCAATCTCACCAAGCTCCAGGCCGTCTAGTCCCGCCACATCTCACCCAGCGCCATTTTCGAGGATCATTTGTTGGGCGCTGCTGAGTAATCGACACATATCGATACGACCCCACCATCGATTACTCGACAGCTGGAGATCGGAAGGTAACAGGTTGGAGGCAGAACCTCCAACTTGGCTTGTGTTTTTTATTCTCACCAAGACATTTGAACGTTTAATTAACTATTTTCTTCCCTAAATTTGTTTTATTCTTATGGACAATTCTCTTGTTTTATTTACAATTTTAGAAATTGATTTTTTCTTTATTGTTAATGGTTAATTTCTTTTATTTTCTCTCGATGTTGTATTTGTGTTTTATTTTTCTCGTAGCTTTTAAGTATTGTTTATCTCAACTTTCATATAAATTTATATCTCTTTTTCTTTCTCAATAAATTGTAAACATTCAAAAGGGGATTTTTTTACTTTCCATCTTTTTATTTATTGAAATATCTCTATTTTTTAAAATATTTTCTTGTGCATGTATTTGTTTTTTTTCTCTAATGTTTTATAGGTCTCATTACTCATTAATTTTTTTTTCTCCTTCTTTCCCAACGTTTTTTAATTTTTCTCGAATTTTCCCCACCTTTGAGGAAACGCACCGGGGAAAGATCTGTACTTCAATTTTGAAGTACCCCTGGCCCCAACAGTCAGTATATTGTAAATTAAAATAAATTTTATGTCTATAATACAGTGAGTTTCACTCTGAAAAACCGAAAGGACTTATTAGCCAACCTGATATAATATTACTATAATTACTGAACAAAAGGTAATTAGTGGAAACAGCAGGTTGCCGCCTAAAGTGCAAAACTACAAAGAGGCCGTGAGTGGAACTAAAATCAGGACATTTGGAGAGAAACACCTGAAGCTCAACCTAGGTCTCCGAATGGAATATACTTTGGAAGTTCTCAAGCCCTGAATGAGAAACAAATCATTGATAAAACTACCGGACTTTTATCTCGAGGAAGAGTTTCCAAAAATCCTATTTAGTCGTTTCCTCTGTACCAATACACCCTCGTGCTATTGGTTGAATCTGAAGAGCGATATTTCGGAATGAGCTCGCAGCTGTATTCAATCAAAGAGCTAGACGGTTACGCGGCACAATGTTTCTCCACCAGGGAATTGAACATGAACCATATCGATATTATAGGACTACTTGCGATCCGTATCCGTACATACGTACATATATTATTACAGTAAGACTCGAAATCGGTTTTGTGCCAAATATAAGCTCCTGTCATGCTCAAATACTATGAATGGAGTACCGTAACGGGGACCGTAACCGTACAGAATATCACGGGGGGTTAGCGAATCGTATTCTCCACTTTTGTTTTTCTTTCTAAAATAAATAAAGTAGATTCAAACATTTTGCTAGGCGTCGATACTTAAACAGTGGTAGGTCTGTAGATCGATACGGGACAAATTGGACCTTGAAGATTTTGATGTGTACAGCAAGACCCGCATAGTTCCTCCGGTACTATCGGATTCTGCGTTTTTAAGCCCCAAAACGTACTATTTTCGAGATAACGCAAGGCATAGGGTTCGCATCCACACAACCTTACATTAATTGTAGTTCTGTCATTGAATACATGTCTCATTTCGTCGACTTGAGGTCTCTATGATCGAGAGAGGAGGAGTTTATATTATTTATCGATGGTGTTTTTGATCGGCAAGCCATATCATCGTCAATTTTTCACCAAATCTCAAGATTGAGCCACCAATTTCGAAGGCTTCCTTCTCCTTCAGGCTGGCAAAATAGTCCAATCACCCTGAAAATTCAGGCAACCAAGTTATAAAAGAAAACAAACCTTATTTGTGAATAACTAAAAAATTACACACTTTTCCGTCAGTTATGCCCATGATTATATAAAAGATTACTAAATTCCCTACAAAAGAAAAAAAAAATCATCGAAATCGGACAATTTTTAGCAAAAGATACAGCTAATTGAAATTTGTAAACATGTTGGTTCCAAACATTAATGAAGACTTAAATTAATTTTTGTTTCCTTTGTCGATTATAGTTATCGATAAAGTATTATTTGATTTCTTTATCCTTTGACACGTTGCATTATTTTATTTTCTTATTAATCTGGCATTTGATAACAATATTCTGTGCGAATTTTTCGTACGGGCCTACTAGTATTATAATATTATATATTATACTATTATATTCCATTATATATTATATTATAATATCGAAACTATATGACTAACTTATATATATATATATATAGACACCTAATTATTTTTAATGCGTATACTTAATAAAATTAATATATTTTTTTACACAGAAATTATCATTTCATCCCAACCTGGCTGATAAGTCTTATGCAATATACAACGCATTTAAAATTTGCATGGATGGACCGTTTTCAGATATATGTAAGTAACAGATCTTGTTCAAATATTTATATATTTGATTATTAATTTCACTTACGTATATATGTAATATATAGTAAGCAATAGCGGATCCAGGATTTAATTTTGGGGAGGGGCTTCAGCCCGAAAGATTTTTTTTTCATATACACATAACGATAATTAATTTGAAAAAAAATATAGAAATTAATTATCCATATGAAATGGTGTTTAAGTGGTTCTTGAAGTCCTATTAAATATAATTACACGAACAAGAATACTTTAAGAGATAGTTTTTAATATTTGTTTCTGTAAAACATCGTTACATTTTACCATTTTTTGGGGGAGGGGGTGCTTCAGCCCGAAAGCCCTCCTGTAGTAGATCCAGCTGTGATAGTAAGGGTAAGTACTGCGATCGAGAAAATTTTTTTTTTTTCCTTTTGGCATTACAGACCATATAGATATTTTGCCGCCCAAACTCCATCGCTACCTGTCTTGGGCTATTTCTTTCCATTTATCTGCTTTTTGGCCTTCAGTGTGGTCTTTTGCCTTCTATTGAGGCATTCATTGTTATGTAGAGGCTTCCAGATGGATTGCCAAGAGCTAAATGCCCCGCCCATCTTAACCTCCGTGCATTCGTATCATGGGATATTGATCGACCAGTTTCTGTAAGCAGTTATTTATTGGTCTTTTGATAAGGTATACTCGATGGTCGATTAAGTATGGTCGAGTACGATAAAGAATTGGTGATTAAATTTAAACCTCTCTTATTACTCCAGTAATTTTTACTTTAACTTACGTATATATGTAATATATAGTAAGGGTAAGTATTGCGATCGTGAAAATTTTCGAATCTCAGTTTTCAACAGAAATACATGTTTTGAGGTTCCCTGAGTCCAATTGTCGCAAAATGGTCTATGTGTGTGTGTGTTTTAAAAGTTTATGGAATTTCCAAAAAAAAACAAAAAAAAAAATGCGTTAAAATCGGACAATTAGGAGGAAAGTTATGGTCTCTAGTTTTTTCCCCTGAAGAGGCGAAAATTTGTACTTAATACTTTTTTAATTGTTGAGACTAAAAAAACTTTTTTTCTACAGATATTTAATAAAGTATCTTACCTCAGAACATCTTTCATAAGAAATAAGTACCTAAATTCATACATTTATTCTCAGTTCTATATTTCAACACTGTAATCACCACCTCCAGAATCAACTTACTGTCTGCATAGATAACTTTTTCAACTAAAAATATCACTAAAATGACATCACTCAAAAATGTTGAAATTGGAGTCATTCTGTGGTTTATAAAAGCAAAGAAAGTTGTGTGGTTTATTGATCTAGATCTAGATTGGCGAACGTTATTTTTCAAAAATATTTCATCCTTTTTGCACCCAACCTAATATCTACTTAGTTATTCACTTTTGTTCCAGGTTCAGATGACGAGTGGAAACAGAAGAGAAAGGATTACAATATTAATTTGAAGAAATCTCGAGTAGACTCTGACTATTTTAACACTTTTATTAAACGTTCCGACAAAATGGTCGAAAAGATGTTAGCATCGTCGTCATCTCATGTAGATGCACATGCTATATGCTCCAGTGTGGTATATGACATCTCTTTGAGTACGTTATTATTTAGAGAATTATCATCAATTATAGGTTGGTCAGTCCTTGTTACAAAATTATAATTAATTCGTTAATTATGTTTCTCTTTTTCAGAAACAATGTTTGGTATTGACTCAGATTTAGTCTATCATCCCGATCTTGTAAGAGTATATGATAGGTATCATATTTCATAAATATATTTTCAATTTTTGTGGTCAGTAATATTTTTTTAACATACTACAATATTAGTGTCATAAAAAAAAAAATATATGGTATATGCTATAAGTTAACGAATCGGACAATGATTTTCGGTAGTTAAATCTGTGGTATTTAAATGAGTTTGGGTATTAGTTTTTGGGAATTGATTAATCAAACTACTGTCGCTGAATCTATTTGTTAAAAATGTCAATAATTGTTCCACGCTATCGAACATAACAGCAATTTTTATATATTGGGCCTTTCCGGTTAGTCTTGAAAGAACCTTTCTCAATTTCTTCCCTCCTTCCTTTCATTCCTTTTCTCTGTTTTTAACTCTTTATTATATTATACATTGTCTGTACATCTTGATAGACTTTACAATATCTCAATTTTCTATCTAACTACTCCATTCTCAATGTTTTAATTTTACTATTTATTTTATTTTCATTTCTTATATAACTTTATATTTCTTTTTTATGTTTTTACATTTTATTCTAAGATTCCCAATGTAACACTTTTGTCACCCCTTTTTTGATTATGCCTACTTCATCATTCCACACTATGTAACAGTTTTTATTATTTATCTCTTAGTTCTTAGTCATTATTCTAACAATTTCATTTTACTTTATATCTATCTATTTTATTTTTCTAATAATTTTTTTTTAATTTTATTTTCTCATTTTTTATTATCTTTTTTACCATCATTACTTATGTTTCTCATACCTTGTTATCTGGTTATTTTCTTAGCCCTGATGAAGGCCTGAACTTCAGGTCGAAACGTCGGCATATGTAAGAAATAAATATTATAATTTATTTTTTGCCTTCCTTTTTGACTGAGCACCCCAACTATTCTTCTCTTCATTCTTAATATTAATATCATTTAAAAATTCAATAATTCCATAGAATTCAATAATATGAAATAAAACATAAAAATTACAAAATAAATAAACATTGCAAAGAAAGTTCTTACTGCGTTGATGCTAACATTTCTTCTGGATCTGCAGTGAATTCCAGAGAGACTCAGCAAGACATCTCGGGTGAGCAGTGCCTTGGCTGGAGAAGTGTACCTGATGATCTTCGGTAGTTGGGTCCTGGGTGTAGATCCACTCTAGAGGCATCTTCAAGGGTGCAGACTGCGAAGTTGATCAAAATCTAGTTTGAGACTTGCATTGCCTGTTCCGGGAGCCAGTTAACGAATCGGATTTTATTCATAATGTTACAAATGACATCTAAAATACAGAGTAATATAATACGGATATATGAGTTGACTACATGAGTTCACTCCAGGTCTCCTGCAGTAAGAGACATCAAGAGAATAATCTACATGAGTCCTTTGGTCTTAGAAGGATGGGGGTTATATGCTCAGGGATAGTAGGGGAGATGAATAAATTATGTCTAAGTCTAGGAAGCGTGTGAATGAAGTTAAGAATTGAAATCCTTATCTTTTAAAACTGATATGAAGTCTGTGAGAAAGTGCTCGTTTGTTGAAAACAGTTATAGTTCCCTAAGTCTTGATAAGTGTCTTCTGTCCAGTCGGTACATTCTAGATAACCATTTCTAAGCTATCGGAGATAGCTTGACCTGGCTATCTAGGGCTTTGTGCTTATAGGCTTTGATAAACGTCATGAGAAAGGTAATGATTAAATGATTAAATTAAATAAATGTTAATATTAATAGTTGTTACGGATTAAGTCCATTCCGTAACTTATAGACATTATGATAGAAGTGAAAACAAGGCCAAATTAATAATATGAAATATAATTAATTAATTGAATAATAGAGAAAATCTTATGGTGGAGCGTGATCTCGGTCAAATATCCCCCATAATCTTAATGAAGTCTTACTTTATCCTCCACACGTGGGGAAAAGACCCCGACTAGGAGCTCCCTCGGCTGACTGTAAATAAATATGTATTTTTATATTTGTATTTAATATTGTCTCTCAAGTTTCATTTCTTTTGTTTTATCAAGTTTTCTTTTTCTTTTCTATTGTTATAATTTTTCTATTGTTTTTTTTTATTTTTTTATTGTACATGGGTGATTCTCATTTTAGAGGCAAGTTTTAGTATTACAACTTTTACGTGATTAGTTATGTCTAACATTATTTTTTTTCAAATCCCATGATTGAGCCACTAATTTAGAAAGTTTCGTTCTCCTTCAAGCGGGAAAAATAGTACCGAAAATACAGGTAGAAAAGTTATGAAAGAAATGAAAATTTATTTGCGAATAACTAAAAAATCACACACTTTTTCCTTGATTATATAAAATATTACGAAATTCCCTATAAAAGAAAAAGTAAAAATCGAACAATCATTATCAAAAATACAACTTATTGAAATTTGTAAACATGTTGGTTCTAAATATTAAGTTTTAAATTAATTTTTGTTTGCTTAGTCGGTTTTATTTAACGAGAAATTAACGATTGATTTCTCTATCTTATGATACGTTTCATTATTTTATTTTCTTATTAATTTCCTAGAGGCCACATGTTGCAATATATAACATAGAGTCTCAACGAATTGTATTTGTTGCTATTTCATCTAATAATAGCTTTTTGGGAGCTGAAAAGAAAAAACGTTAAAGAAACTGTCAACGGACTAATTAAGACCATAATAATAATAATTCTGTAATAAAACTTATACTACTACATAAAGGGTCTTGGGTTCAGCACTACTTAGGGAAAACACTGTTTCTAGGTCAACGGTTGTGCAAGAAAGTGATTTGACCGAGATCACGCTCAACCACCACGTTTCATCTTAATTCATTGAATACTGTTATGAACCACAAGAAATAATAATACATTATTTCAGGATTAAAGTAATTTTAGCCACTGTTGTGTCCGACATTCCTATGATCCATGTTATACAACCCATATTACACCGAATAATAGATGTGTCCATAGGAAAATTAGTGGAATTGCGGAAATTGGTAAATGTATTTTGTTTATTTTTCGAAATGAATTTTTAATTTAAATGCCATTATGTTGATAAAACATCTATATCAATGTTTTCTCATGAATTTTAGGGATTGGCAGAGATCGATAATAAGCTAAAATCGAACGAAGGGCCACTTCAAGGTAAGAATAGTAACTTCAATTTTAAATTGAGAACTTCAACATTGCTTGTAAAATATGATTTAATAGCATTTTAGTTTTTTAAAATTGTTTATTGCAAAATATTACATTCTTTCCCAAAGGACATTTATAATAGTGTTCAGAGATCACATTCACACTCTATCTAAAATAAATTGTGCAGAAAAATAAAAAAGAACACATTCATACCTATATACACTGTTTGCCACCAGGCGAGAGAATTCCGAGCCAGACTTGTCCCACCAACTGTGGAGGGAAAAGCATGATTCCAGGAGATCTCTCAACCGCGTCACTTGGACTAAGCCCAGTGGAGATTGAGCAAGAGTCCTTTAGCCACGTACACACCTAACCTTCTTGGAGGATTATAGAGATAGGGGATGCTGGATAGGGATTGTGCAAAGGGATAATTCGCATTCCCACAATATTGCGTAAATATACTTATGCGGTTTTCACTAATGCTATTGTTGGGGGGAGGGGGGGAGGGGAGGGCGGGGTGGCCGAATAGGCTAAAGCGTGTGCACAGCACCGCTAGTTGCCTGGCAACCGGATAACAGAGATTTGAGATGATATAAAAAGTACGAGTTGGCGTCCCGGTGCCGGAGGGGATTTTAAATTCCCCGCCCTCACCCCTGGCCCGGGAAAATCCCGTATAGCCTAAAAGGCGAGGTAGGGAAGAACAAAAAAAAAAATAATAAAATAAAATAAAATAAAAATAAAATAATGCTATTGTTGGTATTATTTAATATTGAATTGTATAGATTACAGCGATATAAATATTAAAATTTGTATATATAAGGGTACTTATACAAATAAAAATACCCACAATTAAATATAAATAAATATAGCGTCTATAATTTTTACTTTCTCTTCCCCTTTGCCTGAAAATACTTATTTCTGCTAAGAAGTGGGTGCTAATTGAAAGTCGTGTGATGCGCGCACCTCACCAGATTTTTTTCTAACTGTTTAGCATGTACTTTTTCATTTGAATGATTAGTAAAATGGGGGTCCACCGTTAGGGCTGATAACCCACTAGTACATAGAAAAAAATAAGTACTTTAATTTATAAGCTATTAAACAAACTAATTGTACAATAAAGTGAACAAATTGTTTTTATTTTCTGTTTTCAATCAAGATCTGACCCTCTTTATGTACATGGCATTGAAACATAAAAAAGATAATGGAAGCGAAAGAATATTATTCAACAAGATTCACGAGTTGTTCCTAACAGTACGTATTCAGATTTGTATTTTATTAATATTTAAGGAAATAATACATCATCAGCCACACTGCTAAAGCCTTTAAGTGTAAAACATAAAATTATTTATAAGAAGAAATGAACTGCGAATTTCTTATTTCATGAAAAAATTCAGTCTAATGCTTATTACATGCTTTAGACATGTAATATTCTAAATGAAGTTTTTAATTTGTTTTTGTATTTTGATATGTCCGAGGTCAAGATTAACCTGGAAAGTTCAAAAGCTCACACTCTAATTAAATTGAACTTTCTGGATTTTAGTTTGTTTTTTTTCTGGGATTTTGCGTTGTGGCTATCATTTATATTATCCATATCTATTAATATTAGTATTAAGGAAATATGGCCATGAAATAGGTAAATCAAAAATGATCTACACTGCCTTTAATAATAAATACTAGTTTGCCCGTGTGAATAATTCGCCTCATATTTTGGTCACTGAACAATTGGCAATATAATATATTTTTGTAATTTATTTATTTTTAACATATCGAGCTATTCGCACCTGATCTGCAGCGCACCTAGCAAATTTAATATATTAGAGATTAGATTTGGGTTTTCTTGATCAGCTTCATTTTGTATTTATTGTAGTAGGTAGTCTTGCATTTTGATTTTTTAAATAAAAATTAAGATAAAATAGTTACTAATACTTGACAATCTTAGTTACTATATCCGTAAATATATTATTACAGTAAGGCTCGAAATCGGTTTTGTACCAAATATAAGCTCCTGTCATGCTCAAATACCATGAATGGGGTACCGTTGGATTCAGCATATCACGGGGGGTTAGCGAATCATATTCTCCATTTTTGTTTTTCTTTCTAAAATAAATAAAGTCGATACAAACATTTTGCTAGGCTTCAATACTGGAACCGTGGTAGGTCTGTAGATCGATGCGGGACAAATTGGACCTTGAAGATTTTGATGCGTACAGCAAGACCCGGATGGTTCCTTCGGAACTATCGGATCCTGCGTTTTTAAGCCCAAAAACGTACCATTTTCGAGATAACTTAAGGCATAGGGTTCGCACCCACACAACCTGACGTTAATTGTAGTACTGTCATTGGATACATGTCTCATTTCGTCGACTTGAGGTCTCTATGATTGAGACAGGAGGAGTTTATATTATTTATCGATGGTGTTTTTGATCGGCAAGCCATATCATCGTTAATTTTTCACCAAATCTCAAGATTGAGCCACCAATTTCGAACGCTTCCTTCTCCTTCAGGCGGGAAAAATATTCCAATCACCCCAAAAATTCAGGCAAACAAGTTATGGAAAAAGAAACTTTATTTGCGAATAACTAAAAAATTACACACTTTTCCCTCAGTTATGCCCATGATTATATAAAAGATTACTAAATTCCCTACAAAAAAAAAAATCATCGAAATCGGACAATTTTTAGCAAAGATACAGCTTATTTAAATTTGTAAACATGTTGGTTCCAAACATTAATGAAGACTTAAATTAATTTTTGTTTCCTTTGTCGATTATAGTTATTGATAAAGTGAAAATTGATTTCTTTATCTTTCTTTCTTTATCTTCATACGTTGCATTATTTTAATTTCCTATGAATTTTTCGCACGGGCCTACTAGTAAATAATATAATAGAAGAAGTTCATCGTTCGACAAATAAAAAATTTAAGATTCAATGGGTTCCAGGTGATGTGGGTTTGTATGGGAATGAACGAGCTGATACGATAGCCAAACGGTGTTCTGAAAGGGCGGAAAATGCGAAGTTGCCTTTACGGGAAATTCGTAGATGGAAGAAAAAACACTTTATTAGAGAATGCCAGGATAGGTATGTCCGGGAGTCAAGTTCGAAAGATAAAGATCATTTAACTATAAAACCTAACGTCAATCTACGCCAATTGTTTCTTAACACTTGTGTTAAGTTAAACAGAATAGAAACAGTCTTACTTACAAGATTAAGAATTAACCATGGTCGAACATATCGCGGCTTGACATTAATTAAAGTTGAAAAAAATGATTTAAGATTAAAGTTTCGATATGTAATTCCATCGAGGGCCCATTGCACGTTATTTTAAAATGCAGCAGATATACCTAAGACTATCAAGAAAATTGTCTTTAAGAATACTTTCCTCCCTATATTTCCCCCATGATTATGGTCATTCCCATGATTGTATAAAACGTTACTAATTTTCTACAAAAGGAAAAAAAAATCATTGAAATCGGACAATTTTTCGTAAAGACATAGCTTATTGAAATTTGTAAATATGTTGGTTCCAAACAAAAATGAAGATTTAAATTAATTTTGTTTCCTATGTGGATTATATTTATGGATAAAGTAACAATTGATTTCTTTATCTTTTGATAAGTTGCATTATTTTATTTTCTTATTAATTTGGCATTTGATAACAATTGGCTGTGCGAATTTTTCGCACGGTCCTATTAGTGTTAATAATTGCTGTAACCAATATACTTTTGCATTTAACTCCTCTAATTTTTCATTCGGGCTTAGTTAGGTTTCTCCTATCTTAAAAATACAGTAATATCTCTATAGTAATAAGGTAATAGGTAGCTGCAAGACTGTTGGAGACTCTCGCGCAAGACCAAGACCATGACCAAAATTGAGTTTGCAAGACCAAGACTCGTTTCGGTATCGCATTTGGACATCAGTAGTAGGTCCCTCGGCCATTTTCTTTTTAATCTGTGTCGCTCAGTTAACATGGAGCAGGAAATAGAAATAATTAATGGATTGAAGAGTGAAATGTATTTGACGTGGATGTAGGATTTTACTGTTGGGATCTTTAAGTCGTTATGTATAGTGTTATTTGAAATGTACCAAGTTTTTCGTAGACTTTTTTATTGTGTTTGTTTTGTCGAACCCTAAAGTTCTGCTCCGTATGTCCAAATTGGTCTCAGTATAGTGTTGTAGATTAGTAGCTTGTTTCATAACTTAAGTGAGCATCTGTAGTCTAGAAGATGTGAGAGTTGGTTATATCGTCTAGTCAGTTCTTGTATCTTTAATTTACTATGTTCCAGGTAAGCCTTTTTTCATACGAGGTAGATATTTGTTTTTAAGGCACTGAGATATCGTCAATTGTTACTGGTGGACATGAGGCAATATAATATAGAAAGAAGTTAATGCTATGTATTATCAGATATAAGAAAAAAATTCTTTTAATCGAATCACATTAGTTCATTCAAAATAATAAATCAAAACATGTATATTATAATTATATGTTATGTTATCATATCGGAGAATTGTTGTGATGGTAACAGTCCCCTTGATACCATTTCTTTTTTTTCTTCACGACAGACAAAATTAAATGAAAAAGTTTTTTTTATTAAATCTTCAAATTTTTAAATGGCATTCATTAATAATAAAGTTTATAATTTCGCGAAATAAAAGTTTTATTTCACCCTTGCATTTAAATTTCCCGACGACGTTTCGGGCAATTTCTCCCATTTCAAGTCGAATATTTATCTATAATGTTATGACATAATAATTATAAATATATATATGAAACATATAACAGCACATAAAATAACAATAAACGAAATTTCCAAAATATCAAATAAATGAATGATATTTCTACTTACATCATTATTATGTAATCCATATAATTATTTTAACATTTATCTCCTCAAATTATTCAAATTATGAAATTTATAAATTAAACATCACAAATAATAAATAGTAACCTAAAAATATATTATTTACGAAAATTCTCGAAATTGGGGAGTTTTCAATCCGGTTATATCGGCTAAATTTGGCAGTTTAATTATGTACTGAAAACTCATTGATACCCAATTGCTTTCCACTTGAATCATAAGATAATATGATCACAAAATCGAATAAAAAGCTGGCCTACAAATATATTGGGCCGTTTGGCCTATATAATCTCGTTGGTATGACATTTTGGGGATAGAGGTCATGCCAGAGGGACTAATATTTTTGAAGGCCACTTTTTTTTTTTTTTTTCCACTTCGTGATCTTCCTCTTCCCTACTCAGACACAGTCCGATGCCTTGGCTTCCTTCTGGACAAAAGACTGACTTGGAACCCACATACGAGACTTAAAAGACAAGAGCTTAACCGACGATTTGGTCAGCTATATAGACTAATAAACAGAACATCTCATCTCTCAACAGAAAACAAATTATTAATTTACAAGACCATACTGAAACCTATCTGGACCTACGGACTTGAGCTGTGGGGGACAACTAAATCGTCTAATATCAAACGCATCCAATCCTTCCAGTCTAAAGTCCTTCGAACAATAGTCAATGCTCCATATTATGTCACGAACAAGACTCTACACCATGACCTTAACATCCCATATGTCCATGACATCCCATCCAGATTCTCCAACTTTCACCAGAACCTCATTCATCATCCCAATCCTCTAGCCCAATCCCTATCCAGCTGCGAGCATCCATACCATCCCCCTCGAAGGTTGAAACGGCAGTGGCCTCGAGATCTTTTGTAAATATGCCTTTGGAGTCCTGGCAATGGCCAACTTCTCCACTCATGTCCTGAGCGTCTGTGGATCTAGTGCCCTCTTTCAGTCTCCACTGGCTTCTAATACTAGTGATGCGGCTGGAAAAGTGGCGCTGGGATCTTCCGGAGTCTTGCTTTGCCTTCCACGTGTGGGGGAAAAAGCCTGGTTCGGAGATTCTTGGGCGAATGTATATATTGTATATAGTTATGATTGTGTTTAGAAGTTTTTATTTTATTTTATTTGTTTATTATTATTATTTTTTCTTTTCTTTTTATTTACCTTCTTCATCAGTATTATTTATTTACTTCTTATATTTATATTTGTTTCTTTATTATTTGTATATATTGTATGAATGAGAACTTTTAGCCCTAATGCTTATAGCCCTCCAGCAGTGGCTGATTGTATTATTATTCAATAAATAGATTAAAAAAAAAAAAAAAAAAAAAAAACTTCGTGATCATATTATCTTACGATTCAAGTGGAAAGCAATTGGGTATTCACGAGTTTTCAGTACCTAATTAAATATACAAAGTTTGCTCCAGATTTAAAACGACCCAATTCCGAGAATTTTCGTAAATAAAATATTTGTAGGTTACGATGAGATGAAGCTATTTACGAAGTTTCAGCCGGATGTTAATAACCTGATAAAAAGAAATCTGTACCACGGACTATTGCTCATAGTTATATAATATTGATATTTGTTTTCAATGAAATTCAATTTATTAAATATTTTTATACATGTATATGTATTTTCAGTCTGGGCACACTGTCGCTTCTGTGTTATCAAACATGACATATTTCTTAGCAGTGTTACCTGATATTCAGGAAAGAGCTTGGCAAGAGCAATATGAAATATTTGGCAATGACGTCAGAGATCCGACGATTGCCGATTTGAATCAGATGAAGTACCTTAGCAGGTAGAAAATAAAATTTTTAAAATAAATATTCGATTCAATTTTCTATATAAAATTATAACTCAGGCTGAAGATAATATATATTTTTATAAGCATGTTTTTATCATCCTATTTTCAATAATATTTAGATTTATTAGTTTAAGATATATTTTTAAAAATATTTTAATAAATATATTCCTATTTTATTTAAGATTTATGAAAGAATCGCTAAGATTTGTCGGTCCTTCGGTGGTGGTTAAAAGTGCTACCGCCGATATAACAATAGGTAAGTAAAGTTTCATAATATTTCTTCATAATATAATTAATATTTCTAAGCATAATTTTAGATTTCAATATATTTAAAATTACTGTATTAATTTAACTGTGGTATTGTCTTAAATCATAACTTTTAGAAGAACAAGAAAAGTAAATAGTTAAAGCTCCATACTATGTCACAAACAAAACCTTTCATCATAATCTCGACATCCCATTTGTACTCGACGTAATTCCATTCAGATTCATTAACTTCCATTAAAAACTTCCATCCATCATCTTATAGCCCTGGAGCCAGGGCCCAAAAATCAACCTGATCGCAGGCGAAGGTTTGATTGTAAATTATGAAAGTGTATGTTATTCTGAGTAAAAAGAACATTGTCTGCCGTTCCAGAACCGCTGTTTTCAAAGATGGCGCCTGATTTAAAGAATATTAGGCCAATAATTTGAGGATTGAAACGGGGAATACATTGCGCAAAATGTGAGAAAATATTTTATTGAACTAGTATATATGGGTTTACATATGTAAAAAACAAAATTGATAATGCGCTCCACCAAGGGAAAACTTTTTACATCCAAAAAATTAAAGATTTTTCGATATTTTTTGTTTTTTCACCTATAACTCCTAAACGATGCATCAAAGCGAGTAATTTATTCTTTAATAAATTAAAGAACATTAGATTCTGCGTCAAACGAGTACATAAACTTTATAATTTCGCTACGTAGTAAGGTATAAAACTACGGTCAACCAATGTTGATTTTTATCAAATTTGTCAAAAACTGAGACAAATTACTATAAATGGCCCTGTAACTTGGAAATGAGTTCCCTAAGAGGAAAAACCCATAGAATCAAAGTTGTAGATCATCAAATTTTGCGTATTCTGGGTACTGACATTTTTATTTTAGGCCAATTATATATCTTGAATCGGGATTCGTTAGTCCTTTATAAAATTCGGAATGTTTCGGCACATCGTTTACCAAAATCCATTGCTGTTGAGAGGTGGAAAAGAGGCTTATACTACATGTAAACTACTCTAAACAAAAATAACTCAGTAGAATAGACATCCATACTATTAAAATATTGAAAATCACGTTTGCCTTCATTATCAATTTCTAACCATCGGGAGATTACCGATATTGTTTGCAGTAAGTGACTTACATTAAATTAGTTGCTACTAAGTTCTCGTTAAACGAAGTTTATATTTTAAAGTTTTATATACTCGTTTGACGCAAAATTTAACGTTCTTTAATTTATGAAAGAATACAGTATTCGCTTTGAAGCATCGTTTAAGAGTTATAGGTGAAAAAAACAAAAAATATCGAAAAAATCTGACTTTTTTGGCTGTAAAAAGTTTTCCCTTGGTGGAGCGCATTAGCAATTTTGTTTTTTAATTTTAAACCCATATATACAAGTTAAAAAAAAAACTTTTCTCACATTTTTCGCAATAGATTTCTCGTTCCGATCCTCAAATTATTGGCCTAATATTCTTTAAATCAGCCGCCATTTTTGAAAGCAGCGGTTCTGGAACGGCAGACAAGGTTCTTTATACTCAGAATAACATACACTTTCGTAATTTACAATCAAACCTTCGCCTGCGATCAGGTAGATTTTTGCTCCTTGGCTCCAGAGCTATGAGTATATGTGGCCTTAGCGCTCTCACTCAATCTCCATTGACTTTCAAACGGTGATGTGACTGGGAGAGAAGCACTGGGATCTCTTTGAGCCCCCATTCATAGGAATGAATGTGCGACAAGTAATTTTTCTCTCTTTTATTTTCTATTCTTTCTTTTATTTTAATTTTTTTAATTTTTACAGTGTATTTTTTTTTCTTTTTACAAGTATAAGTCTATTTTTTTTAATGTATATATTTTTAATTATATATTTTCTTCTTGACGACGTAAATAAAGATACATTGAAGAGAAAATGGTTGGGGTAATCAGTAAAAAAAAAATACAAAAAAATAAATAAGTATATTTATAGTAATGTTTGCCTAAAATAAAAATAAAATAAATATACTTTATTTAATTTAATTTAAATATAGCAAAAAAATATATACTTACTTATTAAAATGTGTAAAATAAGAAGTTCTTCGTTTGCTTTTAAATTATATAAAATGTTTTAGAAAAAAATATTTAAATACTCATAACTTGAGTCACTAATATTAATATTTTTATTTTCAGATGGAATAACAATACCACGTGGTACTCAGGTAGTTTTCCTGTTGAGATATATCAAATTTGATCCAAAATACTTTAAAAATCCAAACATTTTTGACCCAGATCGCTTTCTTGATGAAAGTGATGTGTTAAAATGTGGTCAGTCGTCGTTTGGAGCCGGTATTAGGAACTGTCCGGGTAAATCAATTTGATTTATGAGATAGAAGCTATCAGGAAAGCCATTAAATCAACATCAATGGACACATCGCCGGGGCCTGATGGAGTTCTGATCCGCACAATAAAATATTTTGACGTATCAAGCATTATTAAAACGATTGCAGAGATAATGCTGAAGGTGGCCTATGTTCCGGAACCACTTCGACAAGGGCGCACAATATTGATATATAAGGGCAAAGGTGATATAAACAATATCTCTACCTGGAGACCGATCACCATATACTCGATTGTGCGCCGAATCATAGAGAAGGTTCTGGACTACGAGTTAAGAAAGCAGGTCACCTTCCACAAGAGTCAGAGAGGCTTTATAAAAGGCCTCCCGGGAACGCACGTCAACGCGAGGATCATCGACGCGGTATTAAAAGATGCAAAAAAAATGAAAAATGACTGTGCGATAGTTTTCCTCGACGTTGTCGGTGCTTTTGACAATGTTGGGCACAAACACATCGTAAGCTCCTTAGAAGCGAGAGGTGTGTCACCGAATCTTACAAATGTCATATCAGCTCTCCTTAGCACGAACACCATAAAGATTGGCAACGGTGTCCATGCAACTAGCCAGATCAAAGTGCTGCGCGGTGTACCCCAAGGTGGCCCCCTGTCGTCTTCACTCTTCAACCTGGCCATCGATCATCTCTACCGCGACCTGTGTGACGAGGACTTTTCCAAGAAATTTGGATACAAATTAAGGAATGAGCAAGATTGTGTGGTCCTCACAGGTTTCGCGGATGACCAGGCAGTGTCGGCGCGTGACAAGGGGGCTGCAGAAAGAGTGATTGACAGCATACAAAGAACATTTAAAGAAATTGGTCTGGCTATAAATCCTCAAAAAAGTATGGGCATCGTTATAAATAAAGGAGAGCTGGAAACTACGGTGCTCTCCCTTGAGAATGGTGAGTACATCCAAACATTGAAGAATGGAGATACGATTAAGTATTTAGGATGTACATTCTCGGGAGAGCTGCAATTCAACGAAGATTCGGTGACTAAATTGAATGATAATCTAAACAAGCTGGTAACCTCTTGCTTACTTAAACCTGAGCAGAAACTCAACATTGTCAATCAATATCTGTTCCCGGGTCTTACTTACCCTCTCCAAACTGCGCCCCTAACAAAGCTACGTCCTGCTATACTGGAGGGCATCGACACTATGATTCGCAGGAGCGTAAAGGCCATTATTGGACTCCCTGCGAATACTTCCACAGCGATGTTGTATGCCCCCAGGAGATACCGAGGATTGGGATTAATCCGCTGCCAATGGGAGGCTCCTCTTCAACATTGGTCCATTGCTCAGCGACTGTCCAATGTACCAGATGCCCTTTTTCAGTCTACCTTCGATTATTCGGCTGAAATTGCTGAATGTGCCGAGAGATTGGGGGTTGATCAGGGTCATCGAAATGTGAAAGCTCTACGGCAGTCGCTACGAGAAAATGCATTTGAGGAATGGGCCAACTGCAGGTGGCAGGGTATTGGTGTTCGCCATTTTAAAGAGACCCCGAAAGCGAATAGATACATCTACGAAAAGCAAGTACTTTCTGGGTCTGAATGGTCGAATGCCCTAAAACTAAACATTAATTATGCACCCCTGCGTGGAGTCCCAGGAGTCAGCGGACAGGTCAGAGAAGTTGGGTCCCTCTGCCGTAAATGCGGCAGAGAGTCTGAAACACCAGCACATGTGCTGGGAAAATGCCCCAACAACTCCCTCCTCATAACACGTCGTCACCACCGGGTCAAGTTCGAATTGATGAGGCTCCTTAGGGAAAAAAAATTCACCTGCTTTGACGAGGTATATTGCATCGATAGTGAGGGCTCTACGAGATACGCTGATATCGTCGCATTTCCCAAGACAGGAAGGACAGCGCTGATCTTGGATCCAACTGTCCGCTTTGAGAGCAATGACCTCGATCAGGCGGGTGAAGTGGAAAGGGAAAAGAAGAACACGTACGATAAATGTATCCCTTTCCTAAAAGAGAAATTCCGTGAGACCTTCGGAGAGAGAGAGTTCACCGTGAGAGGCCTCTGGTTTGGGTCTCGCGGAACTATCCCAAAAAGAACAAGGAGCTTCCTCGAGGAACTAGGTGTCGACATTAAGGACGTAGCGAGGTTGGCTGAAAATATAGTCCTCGACTCCCTGGGAATCATTCACCACCACGTGCATGGCTAGCCCGAGAGTTTTAATTTATGTATTTGTTTATTTATTTATTTAGTGAATAATTGAAAACAATAGCGATAAAGAGAGAGAAGTGAGAGAAAGGGAAACTTAATGTTAAATAAAAAAAAAAAAAAAAGCATGAACAATGAGAAGAAGGAAAAAGGAAAAAAAAAAAAAAAAAAAAAAAAAAATTATAAAGATAAATAAAATAATAAAAATGTATATATATATATATATTTCTGTTTTACTAATATTAACTAATACTTCTGTATATTTATATATAAGTTCATATATTGTCTTAAGGATAGAAGAGTATGCTGTGTGTATAGCAACCCAATGGAATTGGGCAGCAATCCTTTATATTTTATATTTTATGATAATAAAGTGTTTCTCTCTTGTCTAAAATCCAACATGGAATGAACATTATTATTTATCCTTGTTTTATATATGAGTAACAACTAAAGTAAATCTGGTATACTTTTCAGGTGAATATTTTGCAACAATATTATTGAAAATTGTACTGTCCAAAATGTTAAGAAGTTTAAAACTTAAAACAGTCGATAAAAATTTCCGTTTTGAAGATATGAAATATAAGAGTTACATTTTGGGGGATGTGGAAAATCCTCCTAAGCTACAAGTTGAAAAGAGGACTTAATATATTTTTAGTATTTAATATCGGAGTTGAACTTTGGGGCTCCACGAAACCATCAAATTCCTCTCGTATGTAATCCTTACAATCCAAAATCCTTCGTAAAATCCTCAGTGCTCCTTACTTTGGCACAAATAAAATCATCCATAAAGACCTTAATGTTCCGTATGTTTGGCCCAATCCAGATACTTATCCTTCTGTAATAAACTTATAACCATCCGAATCCTCTTGTTTCTAACCTTGCTTCCTCTTCGATTCCTGATAACCCTCCAAGGCGTCTGAAAAGAAAATGCCCTCGTGATCTCCTCATGTAGACATATCACTAGAGTGCTACCATTGGATAGTTCCTCAACAAAAAGTGCTTTCATGTGATTATATTGCTCTGTACATATTTACTTGATGTATTTATACTAATACAGTTGTAAATATTTAATATTAAAGGTTAAAATAATGATTAATCTTAAAAAAGTACATATAACTATATATATATATATATATAGGTATATACTTTTTTTACTACAATCATCCTTATCTGCTTTATTTATATTACTTGTTAATTAAAAAATTATCTGAGAAGGAGTTGGTCGGGGGTGCGGTCAAAGATATAAATTTTAAAAAATAGTATTTTTAATTATTATGCCGACGTTTCGACCCACTTCGCAGGTCTCCATTATTATGATTATTATTATAAAAATTATCTATTTATTACAATTAACCTGCACATCCATGTGTATGCTATGTTACTAATCGAGAACTAATATTCAAATTGTATTACAATACTTTGGCAGATGAAAAAGGTCTAATAAATTAGAGATGTGCAGGAGAATCGAGGATCGAATCAAAGAGTTGTTTCTTCTGAAAGAATCGTACTCTCAAGTAATTCACACAAAAGAATCACGATTCACTCTGAATCGGTCGATTCAATAGTTATTATTAAGAATAAAACTACAAGAGAGAAAAAAAAAAAACTCTATACATACATAAATAAACAAAACAGAGAGAAAAAACAAAATCATGATATAAATAAGCACAGCTTATAAATTTTCGAAGAACAAAATGCTCGTGGAAGAGTAGATTTAGCAAAAATTACAACTAGGCTGATAGATTTCCTAAAACAAAAATGGTGATTTGTCAATCCTCCGGTTCAGTTTGGAATCGTCAATTCATCGATTCAGTAGGAATTGGTCGATTCCTCGATTCAAGAGCAATTGCTCGATTCATCGAGGTTTTCATTGGAAATCTTCCAATCATGTTCCATTGTTTATTGAAATTGTTTTGTTAATTTCCGAATAGAATCTTCCACGAGTATTTCGCACTTCGGAAATTTATAACCTATGCTTATTTACACTACTATTTTTATTTATTTTATTATTTTTATTACTAACCGTACCTATTCTTCTCTACTCACGAATAAAATTCCAATTTTATCATGGTACTGTTGTAAGTTTCATTTTTTAAAAGAAATTTAAAGGATGGATTTACTTTTGGCATTTAAAATAATAACCTTAAAGTTATTATTGAAATGAAGAATAAGAATTGAACCAAATCCATGTTCTAAGAAGTCATTTAATGAAGATATCATTATTTTGTTTAAATGAAGTTAATTGTAATATAGGGTTTCATCTTGGATATTGCATTTTAATTTTAATTTAATAGTAGGTTTAATTTAATTTATTGTAATATATCTTAATACATTATTTTGTTTTCAATTGTAATTTAATAATGTATAAACAATTTTACCATCCATTCCATCCTATATATTATTTCTAAAAGTTGTTTTTTTGTCAATTCTTCATAAAATCCAATGATTGACCACGCATTTTAAATATATTCTTCTCCTTCACATGTGAAAAATAGTCCTATCCCCTCGAAATTGTTAATTCTGGAAAAAAAGTTACGAATGAAAATAAACTTTATTTTCCAATAACTCAAAAAGAATGCATTTTTTTCTTGATTGTACCCATGATAATTAGAAAGATATATTTTTAAAGAGAAACAGAGTTGAGATTTGTATTTTGCTGCTCGAGAGACCCACGAATACGAATTTTCATTCCGATCGAAAAATACATTTCTTTTTTCTACAAATTTGACCTAATGATTTTATTTCGAAAATCAAAAAAAAGTGTTATAACTTCAATATCCTACCACCTATTCACACGAAATTTTGCAGGAATATAGGGCCTTATACTCTGCATGAAATGACACAAACTGTTCCTTCCTAAATAATTTAGAACGCTAGTTATAAAATAAAAACCTGTTAGGAGGTTTTATTTATTTACTCCTTATAGACGTGTTAAATCAAAATTTATTTATACAGTCTTGCAGAGCGATAATTCAGCTTTCCAATTGAATATTGAATTAGGATAAAATCCAGAGGAGTTATGAATGTTTTAGTTAACGCAAGGCAAAAACATCATAAGGAAAAGTGAAGTCGTTGCCATGACGACTATCTTAGCACAGCTCTTCTATCCTATATATTATTTCTAAAAAATGTTTTTTTATCGGTACGCCATAACTTCGTCAATTCTTCATCAAATCTACTAATTGACCACTCATTTTGAAGATATTATTCTCCTTCACATGCGAAAAATAGTCCTATCTCCTCGAAATTGTTATGTCTCGAACAAAAGTTATGAAAGAAAATAAACTTTATTTGCCAATAACTTTGTCATCAACCAGATTCAAACACCATACCTGAGCTTTGGAAGTCAGTGATTAACCGTTGAGCTACACCGTTTCCTACATACAATTTATATGTATAACTTAAGTTGAAGAACAGAAATAAAAAAGTGAAGGAGAGAGAGCTGAAATCACACTCAAGATTGTCGTATAAAGACTACTTTATTGTTCTCACTGCTAGTGGATATAAAAATCTATCAAAAAGCTAATTTAGTCCAACAGCTGATATTGAACCTAACAGCTGTTTCTCCGGACCTTAATTCCTTCCCGCCAGTTTACGAAAACTCCTGTAAACTCTCAACAAGAGAGCAAGAATCAGATTTTACATAAGAATGTTTACATTTAACATACCAAAAGGAACTAATGCGAATCATGAATTATCCTCTATTGAAGGGAGTTTCGCAATTGACTACATTTTTTCAATAGGCGTTGTCTTCATCGCCCAATAAATAAATTATTATTTATAAAAACTATAAAATATATATGTAGAGAAGTAATTGTTTTATTAAAATATAAATTTTTTGATGTTTTTCTTGTTTTTAACCTTTACAAATATCTTTATTTTCTTATCATTTTATCAAAAACAACACTTTTCCTGCATTTATATAAATCACGTTTAATATCATAATTTAAACAAACGTATATGAAAATTTTTCAAATAAAAATTATTTTATTATTAATCTTTTTTTTTTGGCAAATATATTTTATCATAGAAAAATGCACGTTAAAAGAAAATATAAAACAGAAAACATTTAATTTATTTTCATATTATTCTTATCAAGCTGTAATGACTACAGTATAAAAAGATGTTTTCATTATAAAATAAAAAATGTTTGAGTATAAAAGTTTTTTTGTTTTTTTGTATAAACCTAATCATATATTGATTAAATATAATAAGTATAAAAATACTAAAAAAAAAAAAAAAAAAAAAAAAAAAAAAAAAAAAAAAAAAAATGAATAACCTAAATAAGGTTGTTTATCTTAAATAAATTATGTATGAATACATTAATATATTACAACACAATAAACATTGAGAAATATTGCTTTAATTATTTTATTTTTTATAGAAAAGAATAGAATAGAAAATAAACTTTATTCTGGGACAAAGTCTCCTAAGAAAAACAATAATGAACAAATACCAAAGAAAAATACATATCTGGCCAAAAACTAACTTAATAAATATTCTAACAATTATTTAAATAATATGACGTAAACAACTAAAAAATAAAATAAAATCTTCTCAAGAATACTTAGTTATAATGGAAAAAAAAAAATAAAACATTCATGTATAGAAAGAAAAAGCAAAACCTCCAGAAAAGAAGAAATATCAAAAGTAAGTAAAGAAAAAGTATTGACTTTTTATGTTAGAAGGCAGTGGATCAGCTAATGCGAAGGTTGTGTTTAGTGTTGCCCAAATGAGAGACCGAGAGGAGTCTTGGTCTTGCAAAGTCAGTCTTGGTCTAGGTATTTGTCTTGCGCAATAGTATCGTAACAGTCTTGCAGTTACCTATTAGCTTATTGCTAGAGAGATATTACTGTAATTTTTTAGATAGGAGAAACCTAACTAAGCTTGAATGAAAAATTAAATGCAAAAGTATATTGGTTATACCAATTCTTTACTTTACATATAGTAACTAAAATTCCGATGAACGTCTTCTATTATATTATTTATTAGGTACGATGAAATATGTTGTCGATGTATGTTTTTGAGTAAATTGCAGACGGAAGCGGAATCAGTTAGAATTACGACTTTTATATTCTTATATTTTCTGTTGGCTATTTTAAAAGCTTTAACGACACCGTGTAATTCAGCACTGTATATACTAAACTTTGTAGAGAAATAATTTAAATTATTATATACCAGTTATAATTTTGTTTTTCTTATTTGGCTTATGATGAAACTGTTTTTGTTTTTGTTTATTATTATTCCTTAATGATATTTACAACTGTATTGAATAAATACATCTAGTAAATTTGAACATGATGGATATAATGACACGAAAAAACTTGCTGAATAAAAACCCAATGGTAGAACTCTTATGAAATGTCTACATTAGGAGATCACGGGGCCATCTTTTTTTCAGACGCCTCGGAGGGTTGTCAGGAATTGAAAAAGGAAGCAAGGTTAGAAACGAGAGGGTTTGGATGATTCTGAAGTTTATTATGGAAGGATAGGTATCTGGATTGGGCCAGATCTGAAACATAAGAAACATTAATGTCATTATGGATGGATTAATTTGTAACAAACTTTGGATTGTAGGGATTGGATACGAGAGGAATTCAATGGTATAGTGGAGCCCCATAGCTCAACTCCGTAAGTCCAAATTGGCCTTATTATAGTCAAGTATATGAGTCTTTGTAAGTTTAGAGCGTTTGTCTAGTAAGTGCTGAAGTAATCGAAAACGTTGAGCGGTTTCTTGTCGTTTCAGTCTAGTATGATGATGAAACTGTTAATAAGTTTTATAGGCTTTATCCATTAGGGCGAAAATTCGCCACTAAAATCAACCTTTGGCATGTGATCTTTTGCCCCCAGTTCCGGTCAACTATTAAATAGTTAAATATGCGCGTTACGTGAGCTAAATAATACAGTGAACATCATCATTAACATCTCGATAAACCAGTCTATTAACATAGGACCCTTTGGGAATGTACAGCCAGGTAACTATCATGGTTACTTCGATAAATTATTAAAAATAATTCTAAAATATAATGTTTATTATTTTTATGTAGTGTACAAATTACGAGATTTTTAAATTTTTCCTTGATCAATCGATATAGAGCAACAAACCCATTCAAATTGTAGTATTTACAGTCTTAGGGCATGAAATAATAGTCAGTTACCCCATAGCTGTGGATTTCAGATCAAAAAATTGAATTTACAATGCAAAAAGTTTACTGTTTTCGCTAATACCAGTGAAATTATGCGTTCTATGTATGATAATATCTTAGCCCTGATGATGGCCTGAACTTCAGGTCGAAACGTCGGCAAATGGCAAAATAAATATTATCATTTATTTTTGCCTTCTTGTTTGACTGATCACCCCAACTATTCTTCTCCTCATTATGATAATATCATATGTGAAATTAAAACTGACAACATTTTCAATAGAAATGGTTATATTAGTTTTTTCGCTATATTCTATAGTTTTTATGACATCCGTCCTCATAATTCACTAATTTCAAAAAAATAAGAAAAAAAATGTTTTTCATCCGCACGAAAAAGTCATAGAAAAAAAGTTGTTAAATATTAAATTTTCTTTAATAATACACATTACTTTACTATCTTATATTTAACCTTAATGATTAAAGTCCGAAACTATACAGAATAATTTACTTTTCGATATTACACAGCTCTTAATCTGTATATAAGACAACATATATGTGTATACATTGACTTACATAATATACACACACACATATATATATACTGTCTTACATGCAGATTATTGACGAAAATTGCGAAATGTAAGTAATCCTTTATAGTTCCGAAGATTAATCTTAATTTATAATTGCTCTAGTATTTGAATGGTTGACGATAAGATATTAAAGTTGTATACATTCTTAAAATTAATTTAATATTAAACAACTTTTTTCTTCATGGTTTCTTCGTAAAATAAAAAGATAAAGAGTTGGCGAGTCAAATAATGATAAAAATGCGATGCAAACCTTTTTTTTTGTTTCGAAATTAGTAAATTACGAGAACGGATATCACGGAAACTATACAATATAGGAATATAGTTTATAAAATTATATACACTGATGTATATTTGTAGGATGATGGAGAAGATTGTATATGCTGCCTTGACAATAATAATGGCGCACCTCATCTTAGGTGTGGTTCTTTGGTTTCGAGTGCGGAAGCTCTACTCCTACCCAGGCGTCTTGGGTTTTCCTGTTATCGGGAACCTCTTCTACTTCTATAGGACACTACTTTTATTTACCATGGACAGTAAGTTTTATTTTATTTTTTTCTGTTTGCAATACAGACCTTGAAGGTCTTTTGCCACCTTAACCAGCCTTCTCCAGCACTGCCTGACTTGGGCTATTTCTTTCTAGTTTTTTGCATGCCGCTGTATTGCATCTTTGTTGATTCCATTTATTTGTATTTTTGGACTTCAACGTAGTCCTTTGTCTACTACTGAGGCATTCATAATTTTGTAGAGGCTTCTAGATGGTTTTTCCGGGCAACATGCACCGCCCATCTTCATATTATGCGATATTGATTGAAAAGTTTCTGTAAACAGCTGTTCAGGGATCAACCCCTGAAACACAAAAAATAACAATTCAATACAGTCAGAACTTCATCACCATTTTGCTGCAAACCATTCCTGTAGAGTGAATCTGTTCATTTTGGTGAAGTGTGCACACATTAAGTTACTCTCTTAAGAAATGGCAAGAAAAGACAATATGAGTTGCTAAACTCCAAGAGGACAGCCTGGTGGAGGAAATATGGGGAGGAAGAAGAGGTGGCCAAAAAGAAGAAGCTTAAAATCAGACAGAAACTGAGTGCAGATTGACAATCAAGCAATATGTAATTAATCTGTAAAGAACCACACCATTCTACAAAGGCACAAATTTCATTTATTTTATTTTATTCTATCATATGCAATATAATCATGTTTTCAATATTTTGTTCAATTTAATCAATCATCAAATTTGAATGATCCAACCTTATACAGTCCACACCAATTTTCACTATTACCAGCTCAAACAACTCACTTACATATCATAGGGTAATATTTGGCTCATACCAAATTACCGTGATATAACAACAGCTCTTTATTGGTCTTTCTCCTTCATGCATCTTCTGATCCCAGATCGCTCCGGTTATCGTGCGGAGGATTTTTTTCTCAAATCTTTCGGTAGTTCTTTTTAGGGCGTTTGTTATGGTCTAGATCTCGTAGCATTTAATGATAATTGGGTTTATTATAGCATTGTACACCCTTAATTAGAGATTTATTGAGATTTTTCGGAATTTCAACACCTTTGATAGGTAGAAGAAAGCTCTGTTATACGCTGGTTTATTTTTGCCTGTTGGTAATTAATTTAGGTTATAATAAAACTGAGGTATTTGAATTTGCCTACTATCGAAAACGATTTCCCTTCTACGCAGATCCTGTTATTGGAGTGGAATTTTTGGCTTATTATCATATATCATATATTTTGTATTGTCTTCATTTAATTATAGGCTGCTTTGCTCCGTTTCTCTCATCAGAGCCTTCGCGAGTTTCTCAACGTCCTCTTGACTGCATTCAAGAACAGCTATACCATCTGCATACCCAAGTATTTTATGATTCATTCCGAAGTGCACCCCTCCATTTTCATGTAATGTTGTTCTTATAATCTTTTCCAGCGAAAGACAGTTCGAGACTTTGAAGGCTTCAGCGGCTCCTTCTTGTATTCTTGCCTTCTTGGATTCTTCTTGTATTAGGACTCGACATGTAAAGTAATTTTTGCCGCCTTCTTCAATCTTTCTAACTTCCCGGGTACTCCTAGTTCAGTCATGGTTTTCCAAATATAGTTTCTGTTCACGGGATCATACCTTTCTTCGAAATCGACAAATAATCCATTTTCGAGTTCTTGTTTTAGGGCGAAGATCTGGTTTACCGTACTCCTACCTTGTCTGAACCCAGTTTGTTAGCCACCAATTATATTTTTGCTATACCAATATATCAAGTTTAGTAGGATATTGTTCATTATCTTTTAGGCAACAGCAAGGAGTATATAAGGCATAGTGCTTCTGTAATTACGTGCCCATGTCTTCTTCGTTTCTTTCAGAGTGAGAATGTACAGATTCATTCATCGGGTCCCCCACGAAGCAAATTTCAACCCTCTCAGGATGAGGCTGTGACGGTAAAACAGACCACTGAAAGTGGTGTTTAGCTTGCACTTTTTAAGAAGAGGAGAGTAACATAATATCTTGGGAGGAGGGAGAGAGAAGGTTCATTCACTATCGCCCTTGGGGAGGAGGATGGTCACCTCTGAATAGCTCAATTGAAAACCAAGTATTTTGCTTCAAATGAATGAATCCAAATGATAAAATAATATTAAATAAACCTAAGATATAACAAGAAGAAATAATGTCTATTATTTAGGTACGCATAAATATGTACTCTCGGTTGTTGAAGAAAATGGAAGTGATGGACTCCTCTTCCATTGGATGTTTGGTTACAACGTACTAGCTCTGATTTCAACTCCTGAACTTGTCAAGGTAATATATCGTTGATAATTGAAATATACAACATAATTTAGTTAAAATTATTGAAACTACTTATAAATTATTCTCTTCCTCAAAATTTCGCTTTATTTTTATATAAAAATACATTTGATCTTAATTTACATGTCTTTATTTTCAAACGTTTCGAAGATTTTTTATCCTTGTCTTCAGGGATGAATTTCATTTTAGAAAACACGTCATAGATATATATTATTATAATGGGATGGTGATGGTTGACCGTAGATTTTAATATCAGAAGAAGTTAGTCGGGGAAGCGTTCAAAAAATATTATATTATATAATAGTATATTCGACCTAAGTTGTAGCTCTTCTTCAAGGCATTCAGCCTGGCACTGCAGAAGGCAGTATGGTACTACAGTGCCAGACAAAATACCGTGAAGAAGACCTACAACAAAGGTCGAAACGTTGGACCACAGGCGGATCTACGGGGGGGAGGGAGGCTTTCGGGCTGAAGCCCCCCCTCCAAAATGGTAAAATATACAGAAAAAAAAAACAACCTTATATAGTATTCTTGTTCGTTTAATTACATGTAATAGGACTTCAAGAACCAATTAAACACCATTTCATATAGGTAGTTCATTTCTTTCTTTTTTTAAAAAAAATTAATTATCGTTATATCTATATGAAAAAAAAATCTTTCTAGCTGAAGCCCCCCCCCAAAAAATTAAATTCTGGATCCGCTAGTGCGTTGGACAATGCAATTAATACACTATTATAGTTGTTTTGTGAAGTAATTATTTGCATCCGAACGCTACCTAGCGGTAGGTTGCTAAAACGAATTTAACCAAGAGGAGCCTATCTCAAAAGTTGGACTATTGCCCATTCCAACAAAGGCTCTACTCCAGGAAAGACGTTCGGTGCAGGAGCCCCTAACACCAAATAAGAAATTGACTTATGCATATTCCTCACTAATGCCTTAATACAATCCACTGACAAATTGTTTCGCATATTGCCTCATGTTAAACTTATTAATGTTTTTTTGCCTTTTTAGTTCTAAACTTCGTTATTTGCCTAAGAAATAGTATATTTTGAACGCATCTCCGACTAACTTCTTCTGAAACTTAGGTATATATATATATATTTTTTTAAATCTTTTTATTGAGAAATAATACGTTTTGCCACATTTAAGGGCACTGAGTACTAAAGCTGAGTGAGGCCCATTCATACTATATATACAATGCAATAAAAATAAATAAATAAATAAAATATATATCTATATAACAAAGGTAAAAACTATAAAACTAAAGAAATGTAACTTGAACTCAAATAAAAAAATAAATAATAATAATAATAAAATAATAATAAAAAAATAAATAAATAATAATAAAAAAAAATACAGAAATTGGTAGCAAATTAAATAAGTCATAAGTAAAACAAATAGATATATAAAAAAGAAAAACATTCATACTTTATTTACAATCAGCCAAGGGAGCTCCGAGTCCAGCCCTTTCCTCCACGTGTGAAGGACAATTAGGTATATTAATATTTCATTTCTAACCTACTGAATCAATTAAAATAATATCCGATAATATTCGATATACTATTTGAACAAATTAGTAAGTTGTCGTAATCATTTGACGCAATATTTTACCTGAGTTGTTTTTAAAGACTTTTTTTTAGCTTTGATGTTCAGGAAACATGTGCAAATAAAACAACGTTCTGAAAAATCCATTTTTCTTTTTTTTTTAAGAAAAGAAAAGAAAGAAAGAAAAATAAATTTTATTCTGGGACTAAGTCCTTTTGGTATAACTACAATGTACAATTTAATTACAATTGTCTGGCATTTGAAATAGTTAAGAATAAATGAAATTACAAGGTATGAAATTGTAGATAAATTCAGATGTGCGAGTTCACATATTTGTACACATAAACAATGTGGATGACATATAATTATCTGTAGGATAACATTAAATGCGAATGATAGGTCTGAAAAACGTTGACATTATTTTACACATATTTGGAAGATTGATTGCAGAGGAGATGGATAAATAAATTATGTATAAATGAGATCAAGGATGATTATTTGCATATGGAGGTTGGTAGGAAATTCCAAAACGAGGTAGCTCGTACGACAAAGGATTTTTTAAAGGATACAGCTCTATGAGAAGGAATAAACAGGCTTGAGGGTAGGGATCTTGTGTTGAACGAATGGACAGAGGAACAAGGAATAATCAAATCGAGAAGGTAAAAAGTTTTTTTGGTTGAAAAGCTTCGAAATAGGAATACACCTAGGAAGTATTGCCGTCGGAAGACTGGATAGAGCCACTTCAACTGGGCATAGGAAACTGGAGACGTGGGAGCGCCTGGGGACTACAAAAATAAATCTAATGAAACAATTAATTAGTCTTTAATCTGATCTTAAGCCCACCAGACAGTCCACTGTTTTATTTTACATTTTTGGAAATATATTTAGAAATATTTCAAAAGTAAAACCTTTACTCCCATTAACTGCAGGCTAATCTGGTAGTCTGGTAATTTACCAGCTTTATTTATTGATTTTTTTAGAATATTCTTTTATAAGTGGATGACTGTATAAAATTGTAGTTAATAACTCCCTGGTACGTGGGTATTTGTATTTAATTATTTTTATTGTACATACCTTTAATAAATTGTTAAAATTAATATTTAATTATTCAGAAATTATCACTCCATCCCGATATGGCTGATAAGTCTCCAATGTACGGAGGGTTCCAAGTTGGCTTTGGTGGACCGTTTAGCAGACTACGTAAGTACCTGATGAATTTTTAAAAAATATTTTTTCTTTTCTTTTTTTTTGTGTTTCCATGTCGGTTTAATCCCACCATCTCCCATGAAGGCCTATAGTTTTGAGTTCAGTAATATTTAGGGAAAGTACTGTTTCTTAGTCAAGGTTGTGCAAGGAGGTGACTGAGGTCATGCTCAACGGCCAGGTTTCCCTCCTTAAATAATTATTTAATTAAGGGTACCCACTTTATAGAGGCTGGCTGTGCTCTAGGAGGGTCTCCCGATCCTAGGTTCGCACCACGGCTGATGAAACAGAATAAATGATTATTCTCCCATGGACCGGGATTCGAAACTGGGACTGTGAATATTGGAAGATCAGTGCCTTACTACTGAGGTATGTCCATAACTGGTTCAATCTTCCTGTCCATTGCTAGAACAATTCAATTTCGGTTTGTTCATCGGTACTTGTGAACAATCTGGTCCAGATGGACTGCTATCTGCCAATGTTTACAACTTGAACACTAATAATTTTGATAAGGCACTGATAATACCTATCTGCATATTCATATTTATGGAAATTGAAATAGACAAAAACAAATGTAATAATAACTAAACACTTTTATTTTACATCATCCATGTATAAAACAATTTTATTTTACATTTTATTCAAAATACAACATAAACACTTAAAATAAAAATACTTTGGATATCCAAAAAAAAAAAATGCTACTAAAATGAAAACTAAAAATACTTTGGGAGTCCTGGCAATAGCCTGCTTCTCCACTCAAATCTTAGCGTCTATGGCTCTAGTGCCCTCTTTCATTCTCCACTAGCTTCCAATGCCAGAAAGGCACTGGAATCTCCTGATGTCCTGCTTTGACTTCTACATGTGGAGGAAAAAACATGGTTTAGGGTATCCTGGGTGAATATTGTTCATAGGTATGAATGTGTTTAAGTAGACATATTTTATTTTATTTATTTATTTTTTTTAAAAGAAATGGCCAGCATGGACCACACGAATATCATTTCCGTTTCCTCTTCACACTCTTATCCTTCCCCTTACTCCAATACTCTCCTCCTCCTCCTGGACTGTTCCTCTCGCTCTTCCTTAGTACAATTTCTTCCTTGTCTCTCCCTCCCACCTACAAGAATCCCAACCCTTTTCAGTTTTTCCCTAAAATGCTCTATCCAAGCAATCTTTATCCGTGATTTTTACCCTGTCTATTTCCTCTATTATTTATATATATTGTATGAATAAACACTTTTATCCTTAATAGTTATCTCCCTCCAAAAGTGACAGATTTTATTATTATTCAATGTAAATATAAAAAAGAAAAAAAAAAGGCAAGTTTTCTACACTATAGTATTACAAAAACAATCAGAATTTTGGGCCTACCTTCGTATTAACTCACTTTTGTTACAGATTCAGGTGATGAGTGGAAAACAAAGAGAAAGGAATACAATTTTAATTTAAAGAAATCTCGTATAGAAAATGAATATTGTAGCACTTTTATTAAATGTGCCGATAAAATGGTTAATAGTATGTTGGCATCACCCTCTAATGTAGTTGCGATTGATGTAAGCGTATGTTTAACACAGGATGTTTCATTCAGTACGTTATCATTTAAAATATAATCTCTGGCATATATTTTTAATTTAAGTTAAATTACATTAAATTTATTACTTCTGTCTACCATTTGCAGGAACCTTGTTTGGTATTGAGTCAAATTTAGTCTATGATCCCGATATTGTAAGAGCATTTCACAAGTATGATTTTGTATATATATTTTTTAATTCACATTTTATAAAGAATATTTTTACATTTTGTGATCAGTTTATTTTCTAAACATAGACAAAAATTAGTGGAATTTGTCATGAACGGAAGTTATCATGGCAAAATAATTACAAATTCGCTTCTCCCGTGCCAGTGGGGCTATTAACTCTGGCATTAATCTCCCGCCCTCTTCGCTAGCTATGAGAAAATCCTGTATAGCCTAAAAGATGAGAAAACGGAGGACAAAAAAACAATATATATATTGTAAAAAAGAATATATAATTCTGGTGATGGGAAAGACTTCCTCGAAACATCAACTTTGTAATAATACTTAACTTAACTTAATCCAGTCCTCTGTTACCGCTGAGCAGTGTGAGGTTCCTTCTTATAGAGCCTGATCCAAGAATCTCTATCCTGGGCCAACTGTCTTCTCCTACTCCAGTCCATTCCTCTCCTGTCAAAGGCTTCTTTAACTCCTTCTTCCCATCTTTTTCTTGGTCTTCCCTGTGGCCTCCTTCCCTCCACTTTGACCTCGTAGGTAGCCCTGGCAATTCTTTTTTCAGCCATTCGCGAGATATGTCCAAACCACCCAAGTTGGTTTTGTAATAATAAGTGTCCAATAAAGTGAACATATGTCACTAAGGAAGTTCTTTTGCTAATCCCACTAAAAATAACATTCTTGTTTCAGGGTTTGCGAAGTGGGAGCACAAGTTGGGTCCAACCCGACTCTATCTAAAGTACTAGCTCTGGTAGTAATGCCACTTCTAAATACATTACTTGGGAAAAAAGTTGCCGAATTGCGTAGATTGGTAAAGCTATTATTCTTTATAAAACATTCACAATGCTTTTAGAATTTAAATCATATACCGATAAAAAATTATATATCATTTCCCTCTCTGTAATATATTCTATATTGACTTACAGATGTTGAAAGGGGCATGTAATAAGTTGAAATCAAACCAGACATCACTCAAAGGTAAGTACCGTCAGTTCATTTCAAAACTGTTACAGATTTGAGTACTTCGACAATTTAAATTTTTTTAAAAATAATATGAGTATATCAAATAATCAGGGTTTGCAGTCAACATATATTTTATTAGGAATGTTGACGTTTCGACCCAATCATGTGTACCATAATAAGGGCCAAAAATTAAAATCTGGTGCGTCCACTCACACGACTTTCCTACGTATTTCAGAAAAGTTTTTATATCTTATGCCCATCAAGAAACAAAAAAAAAAGTTGAATTAGATTTATTTTCTGAAAAATTTATCAAAGAAAAGATTTGAGTACGATTTATTCGATAAACTAAAGCAATGTTAACCGGCTTAAGGAAGATCAGTTTAAAAATTTCAATACCCTCATGACAAAACATTAAATTAAATTAAAAACATTTTGCCGTAGCCTAATTTTGTTAAACAATCATTTCTGTTAAAAGTAGAGGAAATAGTGAAGCTTGTGTGATGCGGGCAACAGATTTTCTTACTTTCACATAGTTATCTTTTTTCTCTCATTCACTTTTTTCTGACACCTGGATATTAACCCATAATCTTACATTGGAAATTGAATAGCTGTAACTTCGTTAATTGTTATCCGAAATGAACAATTTTTATATGGCTTTGTAGGGAAGCACCTTTAAAAAAAACAGGCTGAACTGTGCTAAATTAAAACATCTGTAGAAAATAGAATAAGCTGTATCATTACTAATACTGGTTCGATTCCAATGATTTCTTTTTTTTGGTAATTTAATTACCTTTCAAAAGTTTTATTTATGTATTTATTTAATGAAAAATCATATTTGTTTCATATTAAATTTTATTTAATTCTAGATGTATATACTTTTGTTTTTTGTTATTGTTCTATTATAATTTTAAGAATCTTAATATTGTGTATAGGAGAGGTGTATAAAGAGGGATAAAGAGAGAGAAGTGAGAGGAAGAGAAAATTAAAAGTAAAAAAAAATGAAAAAAATAAATAAAGGAACAATGAAAAGAAAAAAAGAATTATATATATATTTATTATTCTCATATAAACTAACCACTTCTGTATATTTATATATAAGTTTATTTATTGTCCTATGGATTAACGAGTATGCTGTGTATATAACAATCCAATATAACTGGGCAGCAATCTTTTATATTTTATATGAAAATAAAGTTTTTCTCTCTAATTTTATCATAGAATATTTACTTGGGCGAGTTAGGCCCCAAACATTTTTCTTTTCTTTATAACTGTTTTTTCTGAATTTTCTCGGGAATTTAGTCCACGTACGAAAATTTAAAGGACAATTATTATAACATTATAGGAAAGTTTCATCACAATCGTTTGAGCCGTTTTCACGCTACAGTCTATAGAAAAACATGTTTTTCATTTATTGCGCAGCAGCTGTTGTACACAGAGCACACAATTTGTGCCACAGGCATCAGTAGTCAAAAACCCTACAAAATAAAAGAAGAAGCAACAAAATCGGTTTTCTAGTTCCCAAGAAAATTTGGCATAGACAAACAGACCAATGGCTAAAAATTTGTTTTTCGGACTCAGGAAGCTGTGCAATGTATAGATCCGTCAAAAACCGCATATCGGAAATTTGACCGGATCGCAATACATTCCTTACCTAGTATAGGTAGGAAAAAAAAAATTAGATCAGAAAAGTAAGATGTTGATAGAAGTATTATAAGTAAGCTAATATTAAGAGATAGGAAGTATACATGGGATAATGGTATAATAAACAGAAGAGTAATACGAATAAATTAACTAAATGAATAGTTTAGATAAAAAATTAAATAAATAAAAAAAACTATGGTATGTATCTAATACCACATAGTAGAAGTGAAAATGTCAAGACGGCATTAGTAATGAAAAAGTAAAATATCTTTTTGTTCTAAATTCACAAAGTAATAACATTTAGAGTATATAATATCGTGATTGAACTAATTGTCTTCTATAAAAGTATTATGTTCTGAGCACATTTGTTTTTCAAACTTTCCTGTTATACAACTTTTAATTTGAGTTACAATGTATGTTTTGCTTTACTTTTACAATAATTTTTTGTTTTTATATTTTTTTATAAAGAACTGCCTCTGTCAACATATGTGGGATCAAGAAATATGAAAAATAATGAAAGTGAAATATTATTATTGAATGAGCTTCAGGAATTGTATTTTACAGTATGTATTAAGATTTGCATTTTATTAGAACTTAAGGAAATCAGATAATATTTGTATTTACAATGTAAATTCACCTTAGGGTTAATTATGTCATGATATGTTTTTGTTCTGTTTTTTAGTATTTTTTCTTCGGCACTATTTTCTCATGAAGGATATTGGCCTCCTCAACAAATTCTCCACTCTAAGGAAATTTTAATATTAAAATATCTTGATTAATTGATTGCATATCGTTATGTAATAGTTATACAGTTTTCAGTAAAAAATCAATTTATTAATGCTTTTTATTTATATATATTTTTCAGTCTGCGCACACTGTTTCTACTTCTTTAGCAAACACAATATGTTTTTTAGCATTCCTACCCGACATCCAAGAAAGAGCTTGGCAAGAGCAATACGAAATATTTGGGAATGACATTAGAGATCCAACCATTGATGACTTAAATCAGATGCAGTTTCTTGGCAGGTATAAGTCAATGTAGACATCTTTATTTATTTTTCTATATTTTGTTATAAAAACAATTTAATAATAAATGAATTCTTATTCTTCTTTTTTATTATTCAAAATAAAATTATTTGCCTCAGAATGATTTCAAAGAACAATACAATTTGGAGGAGCCAATTTTCCATAACTCTGAGTGATTGAAATTTGTTTCTTCGTTACTAAATTATTTAATGAAAAAATGGACACGGTGACCTTTACTTACGAGGCACAAATTTGAACTGAGGTTGAGGAGAGTGTATATTTTTCTAAGCATTTATTTATGAAATTGTGGTTGTACATTAAAAAATCTCTTAGTTTTTTTTTTTGGAATTATACTGCTGCAAGACCTGGACACTAAAGAAGTAATTAAATATTTGAGAGAGAAATACTGAACCATCAAGTAAAGTTTCAGGCTTATGAGGTAATTTTAGACTGTTTATATGTTCTTATAAGTTCAGGATTTTTTTTACCATTGACAGTTTCAATTTTATTTTAAAACATTATTTGTAGAGAAGCTTTCCGTGTCCATGCACCATATTCATCTCTATAATTATAATACTCCAATCAGAATAAATTAATAGTTAATTAATAATGTTAACAATACATGTATTACATAATTTTTGAAATATCATGCAATTATTACCAGATCATATTATTTCTGTCTTTTGTTATTTCTGTCTATTTCTAGGTTTGGCACGATCTGATAATAACTGCATGACATTTCAAAAATTATGTAATACATGTATTGTTAACTTTGTTAATTAACTATTAATTTATCCTAATTGGAGTATTATAATTATAGAGATGAATATGGTGTATGAACACCGAAAACTTCTCTATAAATAATATTTTAAAATAAAATTGAGACTGTCAATGTTAAAAAAAATCCTGAACTTATGTTTCAGGCTTATTATAATATGGAGATTTCGACTTTTAACAAGTTGTTGGATCTCATCGTACTTGGAACACAATGTCTAATTGAAGTATGAAAAGAAAATGGAAGAGCAAAGTGTGAGTCAGGGGTGAGGTGGCGTGGGTAGGGTGAGGTAGAGGGGGCGAGTATACAAGACCAGCACAACAAAGATGCTCGCTGAAATCTCCAGGTGGCTGGTTCTCAAGAGGCAAGTGTATCTTGTATCCATGCTGCAAGACGCATCTTCGATGTGAAAGCTCTCGTTCAATTACATAGTCTAGTGTTTTAGATGAATGCATTCTGCGTCCAGAATACTTGTTTGCAGTAGTCGTTTAAAGTTTTCAAGCAAGCAACCAGCAAGTACGTTCCTGAAGTTTGTGAGGCTTCCATATCAGCATTAAAATAGTTTATTGTACCTCTCATAATTAGGAAGATTTGCAAACTTCCTACATAATGGAATCATCGTAATCGATCCGGTTTCAGCAATGATACACATGTTCTGGTCTATCATCTGAATAAAAATGAATCCCTCCTTCTCATAATTAATTGCATTTATTTATTTCCACATTATATTGCCATCTGCTGTTGTTGTTGGTTGGGCCTTTAAGGCATAAAACTTCAAGACCATCAATGCCTGTAGATTACTTTTGTTTATTTCTCACCTGAATCTTTAAAAGTGTTTAAATTTTATTCAACAAATTGTTTGAATTCAAGAAGTGTAACACTAACTTTTTCGTGTGTTCATCATTTTTTAGAATATTTGATATTGGTGGTGTAAGTACTGATTTGATTTAATTTGTGATGTAAAAAAAACATTCTTGCAAGATGAGGCTGACTATAAGGGTATTATTGCAGTATTGGCTTTGTGGTGGTGGGTTTGATTGGTGTAGCCTATTCACAGTCTGGTTAAGACAACCTCTTCTCTACGGATAGGATGATTTGATGTTCATCATGGCTTTATTGTTTTTTTAATATCTCTTAATTTGCTTGATGGCCCCTCATTCCACGTGGACTGCCAGTTATCAAGTATTTATTGTTTGAAGAGAAGATTTGTATCTTGCGGAGTTAAAATGGCAGCCTGGCTGCCACATCTGCGAGCTATATTGCCATCTGTTCTCTGACTAATATAGCATAAGAATTGTTCGCTCGGAGTAACAAGTATTGAATTAACAAAGCAATGGCACGAATGTGCCTATAAATATAATCGAATAATTCTAACATATGAATTAATAATACTTTCAGAATAAAATTACTTTATGCTCAATGACTAATAATATGCTAGTTCACATTATTCAGATCAATCAAATATATCCATCCAGAACTTTGTGCTCAATAAAATATAGCAGTATAACCTGCTTTATAAATTTAAAATATATTTTAACAAATACCTGTCTATTTTATTTAAGGTTCATAAAAGAATCCTTAAGATTTCTTGGTCCATCTGTGGTTGGAAAAATGGCTACTGCTGATATAGACATAGGTGAGTAAAATTTAATAATAATTCTGATATTTAATATAGTCTGTTTAATTTATTATTACCAATCCCTTCAAAGGCTGTCCATGATATCGACATACTAATTCTGCTTTTGTAACTGCTTCTTATGTTATTGCCATGGATTGTATCAGTAAATGAATTTTATTAGTGATAAATAAAATATGTAATTAAATGGATTGCTATATTTTGATATATATTATAATGTTTGAGCTATTGAGACTGAAGCTATTACAATGTGAGTTAGTATGTTAATAAATTTTGATCTGCATATTATAAACTATTGAAGTTGAGGTGGATTAGGTGGGTTGTGGCTGAACATTAACTGTTAGTACTTTCTTCTTTTCTCCTTTCCAAGGTTCCAGACCCCTTGCTGGACTGCTAAAGTTGCTACTTCATTTTTCTTATTATAAAAAATATAGAGATGTTAATTTGACTGCTGGCCAGCCGTGTCTCTTGTCTTAAGTTAGCATGAATGCTGCAGGCAGAATGCCTTTCCAGACCCTCTCATATCTCTCCTTCTCTTGCCTGCCAAGAGATGGCAGCAGTGCTGCTTGCTTTTTCATTTTAAATAAAATGAAATAGGAACTTGGCTGTATTCCCTAAACATAGTCCAAAATAAAGAGATTTCATGGAGCAGTGACAAATTCTAATTTCGATCCTTAAATTTCTGCTGCATCTTTGATAAAAAACATTGAGAAAAGTAAGAGTTTTTAAAACTCCGGTGTTGGTAAGTCGAACTAATGTGTTTTAAAGATTTTGAGGTAAGCATTAAGACCAATTAATTAAGGCTATGTTCCTTCAGAACAGGTAGGTGAAAAATGAGAAACAATTTTTATCAATCGAAACCTAATCTAAGCACAGTTTACCTATGTTTTATTAATATGGGGAAAACCAAATAAAACGAATATGTGCATATTTTTTGTAAATATTTTAAAGAAAGGGATTTTTCAGTTCTCTCTGAGTGGAAAAAGAGGAAATGTGACCAAAAAAAAAAATATGGTGGGAACGTTGCTTATTGTATTTTGAAGCTTAAAAATGTGTAACTTATTATTAGCAAAGCAATAACCAATTGCAATTTATATAAATGATTTGGTTTATTATTTGAATTGAAGATAAGTTCCTGCCTCCATAATACAATTCATTTACTTATTTCCATATTAAGTTGTCATTTGTTCACGGACCAATATAGGTACTATGCGAATTATTCACACGAAGCAACTGATTTCTTCAAATATATAAAATAAAAAATGTTTAATCTTTTAATTTTTTTTTTCTGTTGGTATTACAAACCTTATAGATCTTTTGCCGTCTTATCACGCCTACTCCATCTCTGCCTATCTTGGGCCATTTCTTCATAGTTACCTGCATGCAGGTCTATTTCATCTTTGTTGATTCGATCTATCCATCTACATTCTGGTTTTCCATGTGGTATTTTGCCTTCTATTGAGGCTTTCATTCTCGTGTAGGGGCTCCAGATGGATTGCTCCGAACTACATCCTAGCCTCCGTGGCTTCATATCAGAAGACATTGATTGATCAGTTTCTGTGGGCAGCTCTTTATTGGTCTTTCTTCTTCATGTGATAGTACTCTGATCCCAGATTCATGCTGAGGATTTTTCTCTCAGATCTTTCAATACTTTTTTTTATGGCACTGGTTAGTGTCTAGGTCTCTTATTTATTAGAATTGGTTTTATCATAGCATTGTACGTCTTTAATTTGAGATTTCTTGAGATTTTCAGGGATTTCAACATTTTTGAAAGTTCTGTTTGAGCTTGTTAAAAGCTGATCTGTTTTTATCTTAAATTATATAACACATAAAATGAAATGAAAAGAGCTTTCAAAGCTTGTAAAAATAAATCTAGCCCCTAATAATGACATTTTTATTTTCAGATGGAATAACAATACCACAAAATACTTGTGTTTTTTTCATGTTGAGATATATTAGATTTCATCCAAAACACTGGAAGGATCCATATATTTTTGACCCAGATCGTTTTATTGAACAAAATGATTCATTAAAACATATTTATTCACCATTTGGAATTGGTATTAGAAATTGCCCAGGTAAATATTTTCATTTACATTGGATACATAAAAAATCCAACAATGTTATAGTTTACGCTTTGTTTATCCATAGTTACCCAATTAACTTACTGATAACAAAACCTATGAAAAATATTTTATTGGTATTTTTGTTAAGAATTCAGATTCGAAATTTTTCACGATTGCAATTCTACAACTTTGGACCTTAGCAATTGTGCCATATCTCTAACAGTTTCCGTGATTTTTCAATTGTGACCCGTGTATATCGTACATCCTGTATATACGTCCTACATAAAGAAATATAAGTAAAATGAGCAATTGTTAAAAAAACAACTGAGAGATTCATGTAATTTTTTAATCTTCTAAATACTTATTTACTGGATTGTAGAATAGAATAGAATTGAATAGAAGATTGAACTTTATTCTGGGACTAAGTTCCCTTAGAATAACAATGATGAACAAATACAAATCTGGCCAAAAAGTAACTTACAAAAATTCTAACATTATATACATTAATTTAAAAAATATTATGTAACCACTAAAAAAATTAGCAAAAAAAAATTTTTATTATTGTGATGGAAGAAAAAAAAAAATAAATAAATTACATATCTACATATATATAAATACATAACTACACAGTTTATAAACAATAGGCTAACTAATAAAAAATTAACTTAATACAAAATCTAATAAAATCTTCTCAGGAATGCTTGTAGCGTAATGAAAAAAAGAAAGGAAATATATATACATACATTCACATATTGGTACGCAGAGAGACAAAAAGTATAACCTGGATAAATAAATAATAAAATAAAACAATAATATAATAAGATAACAAAAGTATTAACAGAAAGGCATTGGTTTAGATGTTGAAATATACACATTAGCCTAAATTAATAAACTAACTCTATGAAATGATATGTTAACAGTTAAACAAAAAATCTTCTCAAGCGTGATTATAGTTGAAATAGAAAAATATAGAAAAATAAAAATACATAAAAAATATAATACATACATATAAACATATATACCCAGAGAGAAAAAAGAAAAACCTGACGTGAAGAGAAAAGCAAATAAATAGTAAAAATAAATTAGGTGACAAAAAATCAGTGATGTTTTATGCTAAAACTTAAACATTAGACACCACTATTTACTTCTTACAAATTCAATTCTTAAAATGAAATTTATGGTTGCGGATCATCTGATTGGAATGCAAGGAGGTATTTGAAAGATGACAGGGAAGAGGCATGACAGATGTTATGTGGCAAGGAATTCCAGAAGGTAAACACAGCGGGCTAAGAAGGAACATTCATAGGTTTTCGTCCTATGGGATGCGATATAGAGGTCAGAAATACGAGATCTCGTTTTTATTGAGTGGATTGAGGCTTTAGGCTGAAGGAGACAGCAGATATAGGAAGGGTGCTGGGAGCTGATCGTTTGGTATAAGAAATTTCCAAGGAAGTATTGGCGGCGGGAAGAGGGGAAGAGCCACTTTGATTCAGCATATAGGTGGACACATGAGACTGTCTCAAAGTACTGAAGACAAATCTTAAAAAACAGTTCATGATTCATGATAGTAAGTTCTATATGATTTCCCACTTCAATTATCTATATGATTTATTTAAATTGTATATAATTTTGAATTGTTGGATGAATTATATCTAGATATGAGAATGTTCTCGTTAGATTAGTTAATAATTTTACTACATTAAATTTTATAATAACTATATGCCAAAAATATATATGTGTATTTTAGGTGAGTATTTTGGAATAACATTAATGAAAATTGCATTATCGAAAATAATAAGAAGACTGAAAGTTAAATTAGTCGATAAAAATCTCCGATTCGAAGACATCAAATATAAAACTTATTTTTTGGCAGAAATGGAGAATCAGCCTAAGCTACAAGTTGAAGAAAGAATCTGACATTTTTTAAATGGTTTATATATTTCTTAATTATGATTAATTAGATATATTTAATTAATTATATATATAATATTGTATACCAATTTTACAATGTTTATACATTTTTTGTAATATTTATACCCCTATCATATCATACTTAATCAGGTTTCGAGTTCTTCATTGTTAGTAGCCTGAGGTATTTTAATTATTATTTAATTTTTTCAATGCTAATAGTTATTATCATTTAATGCGAAATTATTACTTATGTTGTTAGATTATGACGTAGATTGTATTATTCTACATATTCAAAAAAGTAAAAATAGTTTTGTATTAAATTGGGAGGAGAGACAGTATTATTTATTTTAAATCTTTAAAATTTACTTAAAATCAAATGGAACATTTTAATATTTAGTTGAAATTTATTTAAAATGACATGAAGATTTATTTAAAACTTTTAAAAAATATAATGATTTTTCACAATCCTGACTATTTGTGTCTGTTACCAGCCAAGGAAGTTGGAAAAAAAAAAGTAGAAACTAAAGATAATGTTTGTTTATTTGGTTCGATGTTGATTGTTTATAGATACACAAAATTATTAATACTTAATTGCTGCTAATTGCTAACAATTAAAATGACTTACAGCAATATAAATACAAACATTGATAAAATATTAATTATTTCATTTATTATAATTAGACTTAATTATATAAAAAGAAATTCTATCAGCTTCACTAATAATAAATACTACATTTTTATACATACTCTTGATATTGCCTCAAGTGATCAATTAAAAACCATAAATCAATGAGCTTGGGGTATCATAGAGTATCAATAAATTAAATAAATAACTTTTATCTATAAATAAATTAATTACAATCATAAATTAACACAGTAAAAATCACAGCCAAACCACAAAAATATAAATTATGAGGGTACGTAGAAATTGGCAGCTATTTTCAACGCCTGGTCCATATCCTTAATAAGATCAGTTGCTGATTCCAGGCCGATGGACAACCTTATCAGATTATCGGTGATTCCCAATTCTTCTTTGATTTCAGCCGGAACTATTTCATGAGTCATTGTTGTTCTGTTAAAGCATTAAAGCATAAAATTAATATTTATTAACGTTATCACCTTTTGAAAATAAAATGCAAAACATTGGAGGAAATAAATTAGTATAAGTTTATAGTAAATGGTAGTTTATATTCTAGCATTAATATATATTATTAAAATTGATAATCTTACGGTAATTCAGCAAGGGATTCAAAGCCTCCTAGGCTCACAGCAAGAGCGAAAACTTTTAAAGCTTTCAAAAACGCTTTGCTCATTTCCAGATCTCCTTTCAAGAATATTGAGATCATTCCAGAAGGACCATGCCATAACCTTTTGGCTAATTTATATTGTGGGTGAGATTCCAAGCCTGTGAAAGTAATAAGTATTAAATGTCTAAGTAAAACATATTTTTTTCTTTAGTAATTTTTGAAATAACATATTTCCTTAAATTACCTGGATAGAGGACTTTTTCAACTAGAGGATGTTGTTCTAAGAATTTGGCTACTTTAGTCGCATTTTCGATATGTTTGTCCATTCTTACTGACAAAGTTTTCAAACTCCTGTTCATGAGATAACAGTCGAAAGGAGAAGGAATAGATCCTGCAACTGAATTGGAAGAGTAAATAAAATATTTGTTTAGTATTTTTGCAGGAATTATTTTTAACCATATCTTCATTAATAGACTTACTGTGTTGAATATATGCTAATTTTTTGTATAATTCATCATCGCTGGTAGTTATAGCTCCCATTATAACATCGGAATGACCATTCATGTATTTGGTCAGTGAATAAACAGCAATATCGGCACCCATCAAAAGAGGATTCTAAAAATCATATATATAATAGTATAGATATAATCATGATTTCATGATTTTACTGTATAATAATATAATTATGAATAATAATTGATTTCATACCTGAAGGTATGGAGTTAAAAATGTATTGTCCACAACAAATATGATATCTTGACATTCAGACTTAATAGCTGCCGCAAGACGTGGAATGTCCATGATCTTCAGGAGTGGATTTGTAGGGCTTTCAACATAGACCATCTGAAAAATTAATAAACAAATTTTAAGTAGTATAAGTGCTTAAGAAAAAGTACAATAATAATATTCTTTTATTTTGTATATATTTAATTTTCCATGCATTTTACCTTGGTATTAGGTTTGAAGGCATTTTCCATATTTTCAACAACTGTTGTATCGATGAAGTCAACTTCTACACCATTATCTTTAGCGATATTCTTGAAGTAGCTTTATAGAAAAAATACATATATATATTACTATAAGTACTGATCTATATTTATAATATAGATCCTATGAAATTAATTTTAGGGGTAAATGATTGTATCATATAGATATAATATGAAGATTAAATAAGCTATTTATACCTGTGCGTGCCACCATAAAGATCATCTCCACAGATGACGTGATCACCAGCTTTGAGAAGTCCTGCTACTCCAGCGATTGATGCGAGACCAGAAGCAAAAGTTAGACAGTATTTGGCTTTATCAAGACTTGCAATACAAGTTTCTAGGGCACTTCTTGTTGGATTTCCAATCCTTCCATAAAAATATTCCTGCAAGAAATTATAAAATTTTAATTGTTATTAAATTTAAATGCATTTTTTCCTTATTGTAATGAGAATATACTACTTACACTATGTTCTTCTGGGTCTGCTTGCTTGAAGGTAGATCCAGTGTGGATAGGAGGAACGATAACTCCTGATTTCCATTGGTCTGGACTTTGGCCTTCGTGAATAGCCCTTGTCTCAAAGCTTTGATCTGCTTGTAAGAAGAAATCCTCGGGGTTATTGCCATTACTGGTTCCATTCGATTGTTCCTTTTGGTTGTCGATCTTCATTCTATAACACAAATATATTTATATATACATTTATATATATTTTTTGCTTTGAATTGTCAATGAATAAATATTATAGTGTGAAAATGAACGATTCGTAGAATTTGTTCATTGCTGTCAATGATTCAACAAAAGAACTGTTCCCATATTTTGTAAATTGATAAAGCTGATTATTTTTGTAATTAAAATAATTTTATTTTATTGCTTAAATAATTATTTTTCCTTGGATTGTATCTTCAAGTAATTCTTTACTGTTTCTTGACTCCACTTGGAATCATGTTTTGTTTTTTTATTCATTAAAGAATAAAAAACATACCATTTTAAAGCTACTAGAACTAAACGAGAGTTACACAAAACTATCAAATAAGGTTTATCTATCTATCTCCCTTGTGATGAAAATATAGACTATATTCACAATTTCTATAACAGATAGCAGCACTAGAGTAGTATTGTTTCTTTTTTGGGTCCAACTATCCTAATTTATGGTATGTTAGATTATGCTAAACTTGTAATGAAAAACAGTCAGAATATTATTTCGTTGAGAAATAAAGTGATACTAACTTTTTACTTAATAAGTTGAATAAGATTATGAAAAAAACGCGTATATAGTTGTATTTAGTCATAAATTACATCGGTGTCTTTTTATTTACAATAAAATTACTATTTAATTAATTTAAATATTACAAGTCAGGGATTCATATCCTCCCGAAGAAAATGTATGGCTCTGATCTGTTTAAATGAAAATAAAATTATAAAAACTTTATGCGAAGGAGTTGATCGGGGGGTGCGGGCAAATAAATAATAAATTATAAAAATAGTATTATTTAATTATTATGCCGAAGTTTCGACCCACCTTGTAGGTCTTCATCAGGGCCACAAAAGATACAAAATATATTAGGTACATGATGAAAATATATTTCTATAATTTAGTATTTATTTGACCGCACCCCCGATCAACTTCTTCTCATATTATATCTCGGTTATCCATTTCTACATCATTATAAAAATTTTAGTTTAGTTTTTTCTTTGTGACTAGATTTGAACATTCTCTTCAATTGAAACCTCACAAAAATATTATTCTCTGCAAAAATTCATAACTCCATAAACATGTGCCCCCTTCCCCATCGAAAATTCACTTGGTAAAAACATGCCTTCCTTAAACATTTTGACGACACAATTTGTCATGCTCTTCTGTTTCATATCAATTATTTAAATTTAAATTTACTGTGATTGATGGGAAACAATAAAGAGGATAATAATTAAAAATTAATAGTTTTTGAATGAAAAAAATCTCTTGAATTTAGTTAACCAAATGAAGCATAGGTAGCAGCACATGTCCTCCAAAACTACATACAAATACGTTATAAGAAGCTGAACCTTATATGTCTTTTTTTACTTTCGAAATTTATTGAATATTAATAAAATATTGAGGATTTTAAATCGAATGTTGGAGAATAAAGTTTCATTTAAAATTAAATAACTTCTCTTCTTTTCCTTTACATGATGAAATGTGAAAGAAATCAGAAAATGGGTCACTTACTTTAATATTATTCCAAACTGCTGAATGCACAGAACACAATCACACTGATAAGTTCACTTCTAGACTGAGTGGCTTCTCCAGAAAATATCCAGCTTATAAGGTTCCAGGCGGACCCCCCACTGTCGTCAGGAAAGAAGGAAGCCCAAGCGTGTAGAAGGAAAATAGAGCAATATGAGTTATAGTAAGGAGATTTCGTTGACGTATGGGTTAGTTGTTAGTGAGGAAAAAGACTGTAGTAATTAATCATAGAATATATTATTGAAATTACTAATACATTTGGTGCATTTATTTACATTTTGTCAACACTAATCGATATACTGTAATATTAAATGATGCAGTTTTGGTATTCAGCACTTAAGGATCCATGATTTAATTTGCGAGGGGGAGGGGCTCAACCTGAAAGATTTTTTATATGACGATAATTACTTTGGAAGAAAAAGAAATAAATTAACTATATACATGAAATGAAGTGATATTAAATGTAATCACAAGGACAATAATAATTTTAAAGATAAGTTTTAATATTTTTTTTTCGTAAAATTTGGTTATATTTTATTATTTTGAGGGGCTTCAGCACTAAAGCTCCCCTCCCCTCTCCGTAGATCCATCTGTGGTATTCAGAGCAAAAAGTAATGCAGTGATTACATTTACATTACATAGGCTAAATTCCCATTAGTTCAGTCTATTTGGAAGTTGTTGAAAAAAAAAATACCCAAATAATTCATGATTTTTAACAGAATTTAGCTTATAGTCAGTGGTACAGACCCATTTTTATCAAATTATTAACATCCGCCTGAAATTTCTTAGTCTGATCGTAAACTACTATTATTTTACTTACGAAAGCTCTTGGAAAGAGTTTTCAATCTGGAGATCAGCAAACCTTATCTATTTAATTAAGTACTAAAACCTCGTAAATACACATTTGCTTTCCGCTTTATTAAGATAATTTGAGCACAAATTCGAGAAAAAGTTGACCTTAAAAAATATTGAGCCGTTTGGTGTGACCTACAATCCCAAATTATCAAAATAACGAGGTTATATAGGCCAGACGGTCCAATATTTTTTTAGACCATCTTTTTTATCTATTTATCAAATTATCTTATGATCCAAATGGAAAGCAAATGGGTATATACGAATTTTTAGTTCCTTATTTAAGATTTGCCGACCTCCAGATTGAAAACGCCCCAATTCCAAGAGTTTTCGTAAATTAAATATTTGTAGGTTACGATGGGATGAAGCTATTTACGTAGTTTCAGACGGCTGTTAATAATTTGATAAAAATGGGCCTGTACCACGGACTATTAGTTTTGTAGCTCAAAATTTCTCTTTGTATTGTTTTATCAATGACAAACTCCACTATAATTCGAAGTAAATTTTGCTAATTTACTATGGTAATTGTACATCGGTAATTACTTAAGGTAAGTATTTTTTTTAAGTTATCGCTTCCTATTCGAAAAAAAACGTGATACTTAAAAAAACAAAAAATCTTAAATTTTCTATTTTTCTGTTAAAAATCGGACTATTATTAATATTAATTTTTTTTTGTAACAGTTTAAGTCTAGCCTAATGTGGAGTTTATGCTAAAGGGTCCAGTATCTTTGAAGGCCACCTTTTTTTCTCGATTTCGTGATCAGATCTTGTTATGATTCAAGTGGAAAGCGAATGAGTATTGATGAGTTTGTAGTAACTCATTAAAATTCGAAGTTTCAGAGGGATGTTAATAATTTGATAAAAAGGGGTTTTTTATTTTTATTTTTTTCAAATTTTAGCAACAACATCTGAGCGGACCATGGCAACACTGCTCTTCAGTTCCCGCTATTCTCTATTCATTTTATATAATTTGACGCAGCTTATTTTAATATTAATATGAAACCTAATTAATGAATATCAAGTCGAATTATATTGAGTCCAAGTTATGTAGAATGTTCGCGTGTGTGATTTCTACCAAATGTGAAACAGTTTCCCCCCGATCTGAATTAATAGGTATGGATTTTAATATATTATTTAATTTTATCCAACAGAACTATGATTTACTTCGTCATTATTTTGTTATCTTCAGTATAACTTCCACTTTATAATCTTATTAATCATATCTTTAAAACTATGTTGTACTTATGAAACTCATCTTTTTACTAATTTGCATATATCACACTTTTATTAAATTAAATTGATATCATGTTATTTTTTCATACATAAATACTTTTTTTGGCCATTAAATATTACAAAAATAAATGGCTCTGATTAGGGTCATGTCTAATTACTATGTTGGAGCACTTCAGGTTAAAAATAACACTTGTTTAGGCTTAAATAATGTATTTAATAAAATTAAGTAATTTGAAAACTGTTTTGGAAGATGAGTACTATAAGCATTCTTTTCATTAAGTAAACTAGATTGTAGCTTTGTATGATATTAACTATTAAAAAACGCTTCAAATGGTTAAATTTTCATCTTCAAAATGGAAATTGCAATCTACTCATTCTAAATATTTGGTTTTTGGTCAGATGGCTATTAAATCAATTATTCCCAGTCAGATGATGTTTGTGTTATTGAATTTATCATCACATTTGGTACTTTTAAGGTTTTGTACTAACTTATGATCTTTATGTAAAACTAGAGCAGAACATTTTGTTATTTTTCAGTTTAGTAGTGTAAATGCCTTAAGTCAATCACAATTATGAGTTTACCAGTAGAAGCATCTTAAAATTTAAAAATTAGCTGAATAGTTACAACTAACATAGTTTTTTTATAATATAAAAGAAAACAAACACCCATTATAACAACAATATTGATAATAACTAAATGCATATAAATTTTGATGGAAATATTTTTAATGAAAGAGAATCTTATTGCATTTAAGTCTTATTAAATAAACAATACTTTTATGAAATCTAATAATTACAATATCTGATTCAATGGAAACAAAAAAATTATCCAACGTACAAAGAATTTTACTCAAAGAAAAAAAATACTTAACTATCCGCAATCTGGGAATGTAGCAACTATTAAATATTGATAGGCAAAGGCGGACCTACGGGGAAAGGAGAGGAGGGGGCTTTCGGGCTAAAGCCTCCCTAAAATTGTAAAATATAACTCTGTTTTACGAAAAAGATTATCTCTGAAAGTATTTTTGTTCGTCTAATTACATTTAATAGGACTTAAAAAATCACTTAAACACCATTTCATATAGGTAGTTATTTTCTTTCTTTCTTCTGAAGTAATTATCCTAATATATACATACAAAAGAAATTTTTGGACTGAAGCCCCTCCATAATTAAATCCTGGATCCGTTAGTATTGATAGGTCACCTTACTATCCACAGAACTTTTGAATGGATTCCTCATAATATTCTTCCTCCAACATAAGGAAAATTGTATAAGTCAGAACACATCATTATTTCTTTCTAGGAACTTGCTACGATATATCCCTCTCCTATACCACCAAAGGGAAACGTTCGCTACCCTGCCAATATTCAAGTATGAGTGAGGCATGATTGCTGATTTTACATGATGAAACTGATTATATTTTACCCAAACAACACTCGTTTGAATCTGGCCTGGGAGTGTTAAACTTTATTTCAGAATGAACCCCCAATATGAATCCAGACCTTCCCATTCTTGTTAAAATTGATTTGGTTATATTACCCTCCTCCCTAAAACTTATAATTTTACCTACATTGTTATAAAAATGTTTTATTTTCATGCACCAAATAGATCAGTGTAATAGTGTAAATGAAGATGGTCTGGTTGGCATTGAAAAAAATAGAATAAAAGTATTTAACGTATTCCAATGTTTTCCTTTTATGTTACCGGAAAGTTTGTTAAATAGATTTTTAACCTTATGAATTATTAAGTTCTTAATTCATTTCATATAGTTATCTACAATAATTGTATAATTATTAACAATAATTATTATGGGTTGATGTTAGATTTAAATGGTTTTCAAAGTGTTTTTTGATGTAATGTTCTAAATTCTTTTTATTCTTTTTTAATGTTATTAGTTATAATTATTAAATATGAAATATGTTAACAAATAATAGAAATGAGTTTGCATTAAACATGGAGAAGGAGGGGAAAAATCAGCACTGTTTATTTTAAATCTTTAAAATTCATTTAAAATCAAATGTAACATTATAATATTTTTAACATTTCAAAAATAAAATCATAAAGTGTAAACATTTTTAACAATTCTGACTATGTAGGTAAACATAAATATCAATTATGTTATTTCTAAATCGGATCAGCGCCTGGGCTGATGTTAATTAATGGATTAAGATCAAACACTGATAAAGCTCAGGCAATTGTCATTGGTCCCAAACCCCTCCTCAAATCCAATACCAACATTCATATTCTGTATCTAAATAACCATCCTATCACCTTCAGCTCCTCAGTTAAAAACCTAGGCATTTTCTTTGACCAAACCCTCTCCTGGATTCACCATATTGCTCACATTTCTCTACGGTCAATTTGTACCCTTTAACTATTCCATCGCTTCCACAATCTCCTGCCTATACCCACACACAGACTCCTAGTATCCTCCCTCATCTTCCCCCACCTTGACTAAGGCTGCGTGGTGTTTGGTAGCCTCTCGGTGTAACTCGAAATCAGACAAAAAAGAATTATGAATAGCTTAGTAAGATTTGTCGAAGTAACCCGGAGGCATTTCCCGTGTTTCCCACTACTATGCCCAGTTAGAGTGGTTCTTCTCCTTCAGAACACAATACTTCCTTGGCACATACCTTTACCAAATAAATAACAATCATCGCCCATTCTGTGTATACAAATTCCTCCAATTTAAATCATCTATCCACTCCCTCTCCACAAGATCTCATCCTTCTGAAATTTACACCCTAAAAATTTCTATTTGTTAATTAATAAGTGATCATTTATAATTTTGTAAGCATTTAGTTTAAAGGGAGAAAAAATAAAAATAAAAAGTGCTTGAATTTAAAAAATTACATAAAATACAGGTTACAAACTTAACTATGGCTGTACTGTTGCATTATGCAAGTAATGTGATTGTGATATGATTAGATGTTTTGCACAATATGTTTGAGATTATGGAAATTGAACTATGCAAATAATTAAATTGCTTTGTTAGACAATTGTATAAACTAACGAATTAAGCTTTTAAAAT